ATGGTGACTTGTTGCATGTCCTTCCTCGAGTTCCAAACTATGTCTATACTTACCAAATTTTACATGTGCCCACTTCCCTTAGCACCACATCATATTTTTTTGATGTAATATGTCGGCAAACGACCGTATGAGTTGCCTGATGGTAATCAATCAGCGCCGCCCATGGAAACCCACAACGGAGGAGTTACGAGTGCGTTGCCGACCTTTTAGGGATTAGGGATTTTGAGATTGGGGACGGGGAAGGATTGGGCCGCCGGTAACCTCACTCACACGGCGAAACACAACGCTGTGGTTGTTTCACGCCAGTTTTCTGTGAAGCCGTGGTATTGCTCCGGTCGAGTCGACCCATTCGTGCCGAAGCATGGCTCTCCCACACTTAAAGCATATTCCAGCATAAAGCTGGCCCTGTTGTTCTCGCTTCGGACACACTCCGCCACATGGTAAACGTCTTTAACCATGTCACTAAACACCCTAAAACATTCTTCAACCTTCAAGTGTCTGTCATGGATCCCGTTATAAATTAATTCGGTCCAAACAAAAGCCAGTGTACGCGTGTTTTTCCTTCTACGTATAAATAATTCAATTTGCTTATACATATTATATACTACTAGTAATTGCGTTACTTCAATATGAATGTAAAATTTTTTTTTTTTTTTTCGTTGCATGTAGATACCTAACAAATTCGACAAATATGCTTATATTCAAAGTTCGTAAACTTTGGACCGTTCTCGTAACTAGCATTTACCGCGGCGTCGTTTGCGCATAAAAACGTATGTTCAAATGTTTTTTTTGCAAATCTGTTCTTCCGCCCAAGGCGTGGTAAAAGGTAGAGTCAGACTCTCACTGACTCCCAGGATTTCGTAGCTAGCTCTTTTTACTGACTTCAAAAAAAGGAGGAGGTACTATGTTCGGCTGATTGTTTTTTTTTTAATTCCTTTGTTCTTGGCTTAAGGTACTAAATTCATCAATGCCGGATGCCGGCGTTTGGGCACCTATCGTTGTTCTATTGTGTCTTATATTAAATGGTTAATCTTTAGCTGAGGTTTGAAGAATTTCTTAGGATATTTTTTTATGAAATAGGGCGGCAAACGGCTAGCGGATTACCTGGAAGTAAGCAATTGGTACTACCGTCCATGGAGACCCGCTACGCATCTTTCCAGGGACATAAATGGCTGTCTTTGATCCCGCAACGAAATAAATCAGAAGCTATTATTATTTGAGGAGAAGAAAAAATTAAGTAGAAATGTATATAAACGTTTTTATTTACTTCTTTTATGTATGTATACATACATACGTTAATAATATTATGATAGTAATGAATGATTCTATTCTTACGGTAATGTAAAAAATGTTAGAGATTATTTTAAATGATGTTTCTCCTATTGTGTTCTTTCAATTGATATTTACTGGTATTTTTTATTAAGTCGTTGTTACGTATTGTGGTATACCAAAAGTAAGGTTGGTTGCATACATTTAGCTTTTTTTCAACACCAGCGTTTTATATTTAAATAATCAAATTAAGAACATTGTATTTTTTAAATATTTTTTTTTAATGAAACTGACGTGAAAATGGCTTTCGACCTTCTTGCATCTCTTTTGAGTTGCGGGTGTCCAAGGGTGACACCGATTGCTTGCCATTGGAAGGACTGTCTCATGACGTCAAATAATTTGGTTTTATTACTGTGGTGTAAGTTGTTGGTGCCATCTTTGGGTGTTTTAAAATCTATTTGACATCCTCAAATTATAAAAACCTTTCCCATTAAAAAGCGCCCCTGTTTTAACGAATCAATTATTAATAATGAGGTCCAGTCTGCAGTAGGTGCGGTGGTTTTTAGTCAGTAAGAGTCTGGACACGTCCTCACGCCCCATCTCAAGCAGCAAAAGTAACTTCATGTCCCACCTCCCCTCAAAACAAAACCTTAACAACGCCCCGTTTTTTACTGGCCCGACGAGGCCTCCATCGTTCACCAGGTGGCGTTATAATCGACTTTGGGAAACGCTGATTCAATATAATCGTGTACAACACGCCTTATGTCAAAGAAGTCGGCGTGAATTAGTGTCATTAACAATGTCACGGCAATAATTTACATAGACTGTGATCTACGCGTCACCGAGTGCGTTACGTAATGAAGTAATTTGAGCGAAATTAATATATGTAGGTATTATTATGTATTTAAAAATGGCCTACTAAGGTCATTGCTGGACATCTGGACATTCACTCTTATGTGTGTACCGCTACTTTTTTTTAGGTATTTTTTTTTGGTTTTTTCAAGTAATGAGTTTGATGTTCGTGTCACGTAATTTTATTAAAAGTTGTAAGTATAATACACAAAAACTTAATATTATTAGTCTTATTGTATGCAAGAATTTAGACACGTGGTTGAAGGTAAAACGTTTTGCGAGGACAAACGGCCGTCGAAGGGCTGGGATGGAGCGAGTGGGAGTGTCAGACTCCTTAGACTCAGTGTCCTTATCCTGCTGTGAGCCTAATCGTGATTCATTGCTCTTAAGTAGGAACGAGTTGGTTTTTAGTCAGTAAGTGTCTGAAGCTCCGTCTCGCTCCAGCCTTCGTTTTTTGTGAGGGGAGATTCATCAAACGAATTCTCTCGTCCAAGGTTAGGCGAGAGGGAGTGTCAGACTCTTACTGACTAAAACCGCCTCCGTTCCTTTTCCTGCTCCAGGACGCAGCAGCGGTACGTTATTATAACGCCAGCCTGACTCAACACTTGCCAAGAGAAATTATAAAATGACTTGCTACTCTTGCGTGGTTGCACCTGCTGCTCGGCTCCATTTGATCGTAGCGTGATGTTTTATAGCCTATAGCACTCAGGAATATTGCAGCTATCTATCAGTGAAAGAATTTTGGCAATCCGACCAGCGGTTCCAAAGATTACCCCCTACATACAAACTTACAAATTTTACCTCTTTATAATATTTGTATACATATAGATTTACAATGAGGTGTCTGATGGTTTTTTAAATTTCTAGTAGAATTAACCTTTAGTATTATTTTATTATTTTTCCCACAAAATATTAAAACAATGACGTTAAAACCGTCAATTGTTTTTGTCTTGTAACCTAAATATTTATTTGTCTGCGTTTAGTTGGTGCGAAAACGAAATAAATACTCTACGAAATGAATGTGTATATTTTATTGTATTACTTGCAATAAATTTACATATTTAATTATTTATGCTGTAAGGCGATTTATATTTGACTAAGTATACTTAATAGTTTTTGATTCCGTTTTATTTTTATTGTGGTTTTCAATTAAATACTTGGAATGGTTTTTTTGTCGAATTGTAATGCTGAGACTTCCGGAGCTTTTGCTGCGGTTGGGGGTTCATTCCTTTCGTGTTTTTTTTACGGATTACCTGATGGTAAGCAATCAGCGCCGCCCCTGGACACTCGAAACGGAGGAGTTACGAGTGCGCTGCCGACCTTTTAGGAATTAGGGATTTGGATATTTAGGGATTGGGGGAGGAGAAGGATTGGGCCTCCGGTAACCTCACTCACACGGCGAAACACAGCGCTGTGGTTTTTTCACGCCAGTTTTCTGTGAGGCCGTGGCCTTTTACAGTATCACTTCGGTCTCCGGTGGCTCTCCCACACCTGAGTGTTTAGCTTTCCTTTATGCCCTCATGTCCTGCTCAAAGAAGTAGGAGAAGGACACCGCTTCCCAGTGACTCTCACACTATGATCATAGCCAAGGGCTGATTTTGATCGCTTCCCTGATGACACAGCTGTGCTCAGCTCAATTAGGTCACCGCTACTGTACCCTCCGGGTGATATCTTTTAACCCGTTGAATGTCGGTTTATAAGACACAATATGCGTGGATCCACGTTTAAGATATACGAAAGGTTAAATCGTAATCTGTTCTTACGATATTGCAAGAAGAACACACAAGTAAATCGATACTTATATACAAACCCACATATACATTGTAATACATAATAATTTAAGTGTGGGAGAGCCATGCTTCGGCACATGGTCGGCTCGACCGGAGTGATACCACGGCCTCACAGAAAACCGGCGTGAAATAACCACTGCGTTGTGTTTCGCCGTGTGAGTGAGGTTACCGGAGGTCCAATCCTTCCCTTCCCCAATGCCTCCTCAATCCCTAATCCCTAGAAGGTCGGCAACGCACTCGTAACTCCTCCGTTGCGAGTGTCCATGGGCGCCGCTGATTGCTTACCATCAGGTAATCCGTCTGCCCGTTTGCCGACCTATTACATAAAAAAAAATACCGTAAAAACTTTCAACATAATAAGTCGGTTAGTTTATCCGTTAATAGTAAAACAGTTAAACACGCATCGTTTGGTTAAAACGACGTAATAAAGCGCTTGACCTTACTTAGACAAGGTGAGCTGCGTGCTGCGTGTGCGCATCGAGAGTTTCCTATCCTATACTTTTGTTGAGTAATGATATTGTTAGTTTTCTATGTGATTAATCGGCAAACGAGCATACGGATTACCTGATGGTAAGCTATCAGCACCACCCATTGATGCGAGTGCAGCAATAGAGGAGTTACGAGTGCGTTGCCGATTTTTTTGGGGATTAAGGATTGGGAGACGGGAAGGATTGGGTCTCCGGTAACCTTAATCACGGTGAAACACAACGCTGTGGTTGTTTCACGCCGGTTTTCTGTAAGGTTTTCCGATGAATGCCGAAGCATGCCTCTCCCACACTTAAATTTTATAGTTAGGACAAGTATATAAAATTTTTACTCTTCACATGGAGGAAACCTATATTAGTTAACTGGCTTTTGTCCGCGATTCCGTTCGCATTGAATTGTGACTACCTGCAGATTTTTTTTATATAAAAGCTATCCTGTGTCCTTTCTCGAGTTTCAAACTATGTCCGTACCAAATTTCACAGAAATCGGTTTAGTAGTTTAGGCCTGAAGAAAAGACAGAGAGACAGGGTTACTTTCGCATTTGTAATATTAGTATAGATTACTCCCTTACGTTATTTTAGAACCTTTTTTTCTCTCTTACAGTATGGCAGACAGCATATCGAAGTTGCTAAGATCAAAATACAACGAACAGACAGTTCTGATGAGGAGGACCTGCCCCCAGTGCCTGATGATAAACCCCCCTCAGCTATCATCAAGGAGAATGGAGTCAATGGTGAGTTTCTATCTCTAAAATGTTAATAACTAGCTAATCGCGTGCGGGTTTACCCGCTGCTCGCTTCCATTTGATAGTAGCGTGATGTTTTATAGCCTATAGCACTAGGAACATTGTAGAGGGAGCCTTTTTTGAGAGTTTTTTATGTAATAGGCTGGCAAAAGAACAGACGGATTACCTGATGGTAAGCAATCAGCGCCGCCCATGGACACCCGCAACGAGTACGTTGCCGACCTTTTAGGATTTAGGGTTTTGGAGATTTAAGGATTGGGGAGGGATCGGGGGAGGGGAAGGATTGGGCCTCCGGCCAAATGACTTCTGTCGCCCAGGGTAAAGTGAGAGAGAGTGTCAGACTGTTACTGATTAACCCACCTTAGCTCCGGAACCCCGGCAAAAGAATTTGCAGTCAAGGATGATTTTTCCTCCCTGCCTTCTACCAAAGAGAATCTCTCGACTTTGTCACCTGATGACGCGATGATTCAGTCAACCTCTACGTCAAAGTTTTTCTTAATAAATATTTAGGTAACTATACCTACGCATGTTTATGGAAATTGTACGAAAAAAAAACAATTGTTATAAAAATGAGGTAATATACGCCTCTTTGAAATACGTCATGAAATATGAAAAAAGTTGTTCGTCACGGCACGCGTGGCAAAGTCTAACATATAATGTGTTTATAAATATAATTGTCTAAATAATAGCGGTTAAACACGCATAAAAGTAAAAAATCCAAATAGTACATCATTTTTTGTAATAGGGAAATCATCAAATGACTTCTCCCGTCCAGGGTGAGGCGAGAGGGGCGTGTCAGACTCATACTGACTAAAAACCTCCCCGTTCCTTCTCCCGCTTTAAGCTGAGACCGTCGTACCGTATTGAGCTTGCCCCACAACCCCGGCTGAACATTACCCGTAGGGCCACGTCTGTAAGAAATCGTAAACCCTTGCAGACACTCGAACGTTAAGCAAAGAGTTCAATATCAAAAATGACAGTTTACCTCTCAGTTCTCTAGTGAAACTATGTGGTTGTTGCTTAGTAGTTAGGTCCCTGTGGAGAAGAACGAGCAAGAAACTCCATGGTTACTCTTTTTTCGTCCCTTCTCCTAGTCTAAGCCGGGCAGTTAAGTTATTGCGCACCCTTTGTCCAAGGTGGATCACCTATCTACATTTTGAACGAGGGACATATCCAAGGAGCCGATTTTGATGGTCAATTACAACAACTTTTTCCATGGGACCTTATATCTAAAACTCAAAAATAAATTTATTTCCCCATACAAAATCCAATAGCTGATTGGTCATTTTGCATGGAGAAGTAGTTTTTTTTACCAAAGTCAAAATCATTTATTTCAATTAGACCCATACAGGCACTTTTGAACGGCAAACAATATTTTTAAGATATAAAGTGTCAGTCTGTCGGTCAGTCCTCTTATGCCCGGTTCCTATAATTGAGAAACGATCCGTTTTAGTTACGAATAGTAGTTTTATATACGACTCGTAAGCTAAAACCGTTTCTATAACAAACGTCTCGTCGTGCAACTTACTGACGGTTTGCAACTAACGGATATCGGTAAGCGAATTGTATGGAGATCTATGGTGTCTGTGGTGTTCCTATAAATATCTTAACCGTCAGTAGACGGTCAAGATAACTATTCGTAATGTCATTTGGTCGTAATGCGTATACAACGACGATTCGTTAAATATAGGAACCGGGCATTAGTGAAGCTATTTATTTAAGGTTTCCATATTAGTCTTATAGAAAAAGTTGTTTTATTTAAGCACCAAGGCTAGAGTGTAATAGGCTCTTAATAAACTAGAGCGCCTTACCATCAACGATTGCATCACTGCTTACCATCAGGTGGGATCGTAGTCAAGCACTAGTTTATAGCAAGTAAAAAAAAGCACCAGAATCGGGTCCTTGATTCTTGATTTCCTCGTACACATAAGCATATTTTGAGTTGGCGTGTTCCACCTTAGACTCCAACATTGCTTTCCATCAGGCGTGATTGAGGTCAAACGCACGCAAATTAAAAATGTTAAGATTTCAACTAATTCGGTCCAACCGTTTTCGCGTGAAACACATACATACACAGAATCTTAGTTTAAAACAATGTAACTCTGTAGGAATATCGTTTGTCGTGTTTCGAACACAGAGTAATTTGCAATACAATTTAATCTGTCTTTGAAATCGTTTATGCAGTTGCGTCATTGTCATACGTTTACGTAAAATGTATGCAATTTGTAACAATTTATGCGATTTGAATGCTGTCGCACGGTTGTGTCGCGGGTCCGATCTTCGCACGGAACAACTCTGTTGTGATCCACAAATTGTTGTTCCGTAAGTCTGGGCGTGATGTGTATGTGGCATTGTATGTTTGTAAACGCACACACAACAGAGGGTCATCGAATGACTTCTCTGGCCCAGTATGAGGAGTTTTTTTTTTATGTAATTGGTCGGCAAACGAGCAGACGGATTACCTGATGGTAAGCAATCAGCGCCGCCCATGGACACCCGCAACGGAGGAGTTACGAGTGCGTTGCCGACCTTTTAGGGATTTGGAGATTTAGGGATTGAGGAGGGATTGGGGGCGGGGAAGGATTGGGCCTCCGGTAACCTCACTCACACGGCGAAACACAACGCTGTGGTTGTTTCACGTCGGTCTTCTGTGAGGCCGTGGTATCACTCCGGTCGAGCCGACCCATTCGTGCCAAACCGAACTCGTACTGACTAATCCCCTTTCCCCCTGTTCCTCTTCTGCTCCAGGCTGTGTCCTCGGTACCTTAATGTGTGGTATGTTGGACTCTCTACCCTGGGTAAAGTCGTAGTGTGGGTCCTTTTGGGACATATTTTTTTATTGTTTAAAACCTTTCGGGTTTCCATAAATTTTTACAAGACCAAAATCATGGAAACTGCTGAATCGATTTTAATGAAACTTTGTACTTACACGTGATAAATCAAGGTCTAAAATCTTAAGTATATTTTCAGGCACTTAATGCGTTTTTAATTACAAATTGTTATTAGCTACTATTGCGAGGTTTCACTCGCTGCTCACCTCCTATTGGTCGTAGCGTGATGTTTTAAAGCCTTATAGCCTTCCTTGATAAATGATACTCCATTTATCTACAAACAAATAATTTTTCGATCCAGTTTTTTTAAATAAGAGAATTAAAAATTTACAAGTTTATCTTACTAATATTATAAATGCTAAAGCTACGATGTTTGGATGTTTGATACTCAATAACGCCATAACGGCTGGACGGATCTGGATGAACTTTGGCACAGGCATAGGATACGCTCCGGAATAGGACATAAGCTACTTTTTATCAACGTACCACGCGGACGGAAGCTTGTCTATACTAATATTATAAAGAGGTAAAATTTGTAAGTTTGTGTTTTGTATGTTTGTAAGTTTGTATGTAGGGGGTAATCTTTTGACTGCACGGTTGTCGCGGTGGCTGGGCAACTGGCTACCGTGCGACGTGTCGCGGATTCAATTCCCGCACGAAACAAAACTTTGTGTGATCCACAAATTGTTGTTTCGGGTCTGGGGTCAGATGTGTTTGTAATATTGTATGTTTGTAAACGCACCCATGACACAGGTGAAAATCCTAGTGTGGGGCAACGTTATAAAAAAAAAATCTTTGGAACCGCTGGTCGGATTGCCAAAATTCTGTAACTGATAGATAGCTACAATGTTCCTGAGTGCTATAGGCTATATAACATCACGCTACGATTAAATGGAGCCGCGGGTGAAACCGCGCGAGACTAGCTAGTAAATTAAAAATTTATACTTTGCATACAGTAACGTGAAATGTATTGAGAATTTAAGATCCTCTAGCACTATCCATATTTTTTGTAAACATACATTTTTGTAAATAAATTATTTATATTTCCAAACAAACAATTAAATTCCTCAGCTTTTTAATCCATCAAACCCCAAACGAACGCCCAGCGTTCGCGCACATATTATTGTGTCTGATTTTACCACTATTGAAAGGTACTAGTAGACTTTATGATTTGTAAATTAAGTATGTTAGCTGGGGTTGTGGATGCAGAAATGTACCTACCGCAGCCCAGGCTTGAAGCAGGAGAAATCACGGGGTGCTTTTCAGTCAGTAAGAGTTTGACACTCCCTCTTCAGAGAAGTCATTTGACGATATTCTTCCTTGATTCCCTGGTCAAAAAAAAAGTAATAGCTAGTCTTCTGCTTTGCTTTCTCTTTTAAAATAACCCTATTTCTTTATTATGTTTTCGGCTTACTCACATAATTATTTGACGCTGCTGTCAGAAGCGCGACAGTCGCCGCGTCGTGTGTCGCGGAATGCTGCTCATGAATATGAGCCTCTTGCATGGCTTGAAACTAGTCGAGTTCCTAGTCAAATTATTACGTGAGTAAGCGGGAAACATAATAATTATCTAGTATATTATGTCTTACGAAAGTTATGATAAAAATAACCCTATTTCCTCCACCAGGTACAAAGATGACAGTGATAGAAAGGCAAGAGATACTTGGTCCTTCGCCGGAATTGAACTATAAAAGGAGCACCAGCCAGGAACGGGTGCAGAACGGGCCCAAAACCACCCAGGGTAATGGAGAGGTGAGTTCTTTGTTCTTCTGATGTGATGACCAAAATATATTTGGATAACGAGCAAACGGGATGTCTGATGGTCCGCCAACACCAGATAAGATTCAAGTGCCTTTAATGATAAGGGGGTTTTGGAGATTGATAACCTTACTCGCACTGAAACACAGCCTTTTGGGGATAAGGGTTTTAGAGATTGGCAACCTCACTCACACCGAAACACAGCCTTTTGGGGACACGGGGTTTTAGAGATTGGTAACCTCACTCACACCGAAACACAGCCTTTTGGGGATAAGGAGTTTTAGAGATTGGTAATCTCACACACACCGAAACACAGCCTTTTGGGGATAAGGGGGTTTAGAGATTGGTAATCCCACTCACACCGAAACACAGCCTTTTGGGGATAAGGGGGTTTAGAGATTGGTAATCCCACTCACACCGAAACACAGCCTTTTGGGGACAAGGGGTTTTAGAGATTGGTAACCTCACACACACCGAAACACAGCCTTTTGGGGATAAGGGGTTTTAGAGATTGGTAACCTCATACACACCGAAACACAGCCTTTTGGGGATAAGGGGTTTTAGAGATTGTTAATCTCACTCACACCGAAACAACGCTGTGGTTGTCACCTCCAGAATCCAGAGCCAAGCTTCGGCATGAAAGGGTCGTCTCGACCGGAGTGATACCACGCCCTCACAGAATACCGGCGTGAAACAACCCACAGCGTTGTGTTTTGCCGTGTGAGTGAGGTTAACGGATGCCCAATCCCTCCCCCTCCCCTTTTCCTTCCCGATCCTCATAACCCCAACCCCTATCCCCAAAAGGCCGGCAACGCACTCGTAACTCCTTTGGTGTTGCGGGTGCCCATAGGCGACGCCGATTGCTTACCATCAGGTAATCCGTCTGCTCGTTTGCCGACTTATACCATAAATAAAATAATTTTTAACAAAAAAAAACCGACTTCAAAAGTAAACTGAAAAGCAAAAAATAAATTTACTTTGTTCAAAGTAATACACACTTTCATTTAGTTAAATAGAAAACAATATTTAATAACTATTTTATAATCTTAAAGTCGGTGCCAAGTAAAACTATAACCGTGTAAAGATATTACTTACTAGTGATGTGCCGGATCGCTAAAAATGAAGATCCGCGGATACGGATCTGAATACGGATATTTAGTGTCAAGATCCGCGGATACGGATACGGATCTTCAATTTCTCATAAGATTAGTGTCGCCGGCCGCGCGCGGCCTTGAAAAGATAGTTGACGTCTCGCTCGCCGCAACGTCAGACACGACATGTTTTGACTTGCATTGCGCGGGTGTGGGTACATATTTATCTACACCTGCAACCAGCGTTCCAAGTGAATAATTTTTCAGTGCAGCAGGAATTGGGTAGTGTCCTAGGTCAAAAATAAATTAATTCGACGTTTTATTACAATAAAATATTGAAAAATAACTATACTTTTATTCATCGATCGATCGATACACTAAGTTTTAGATTTTTTTAGCTCATTATTCAGAAATAAGTAAGCTATTTGACGTAAAACTGTTATGACGTCATACCTCAGTTTTTCATACAAATTTCATAGAAAAGTACCGTTTTTGACATTTGGATAAAAGTATTGAATTTGACTAGTTGGAAACTACCGTATTGTTTATGATCCTCATCGTAACAGACTTTCGGGGGAAAAAGCTGCGAAGTTGCTATTTTTGAAATACAATTTACCCTTACTTAATTTTAATTATGATTAATATTTTTTTAAAGCTGCTCTAATTTTGTCTGTGATTACTTGCTCATGTAAGCTAATTTTTAAACTTTATGTGACACATAGTATTAATTTACTTTATTAGAATTAACATTTAATTTGATTTATTTTTGGTTTCCTCGTGATCTCATTCTTATAAAAGTGATTTATTACTTTCTATCGTATTGATCTCATAATTATAAACAGAAGGTTTAAGTTTTAGTTTTTTTTTATTGACATAAAAAATATCATTTTGGTATGTTATAACTTGCTGTTATATTGCTGAACCTAATTATATATAAAAGAAGTTTTCAGTTTAAGTTTTGTTTTGACCATGATTGTTATAAAAGGATATTATAACTTGATTTGATATTGACCTCATTTAATTATAGAAAACAATAATTGTGTTTTAGTTATTTCACTGTCCTAAAAGTAAAGTTTTAACTTGCTCTCATTATAAAAATCTATTATCTAAATGTTTGCAATATATAGGTGCAAAATATATGATTATTTAAAAAAACTAGCTGGATTTTTTTTATTTCTACCTGATGATTAACTGAAAAAGATCCGTAAAAGATCCGCGTGTAAAGTAACGGATACGGATACGGATACGGATTTTTATTTTTCCTCGGATATCCGCGGATACGGATACGGATACGGATATTCGGAACATCACTATTACTTACATAACTCTTGCTAATTTGATGATTAGTAGGTACCGATCAATATAATTTTCTAATACTGTTGTTGTTTGGTATATAGCATTTACTTGGCACCGACTTCAAAATTATAAAATAGTTATTAAATATTGTTTTCTATTTCACTCAATGAAAGTGTGTATTACTTTGAACAAAGTAAATTTATTTTTTGCTTTTTAGTTTACTTTTGAAGTCGGTTTTTTTTTTGTTAAAAATTATTTTATTTCACCATTTTAAGTGATAGGCAGAGAAAGCTAGGATGCTTCTTAAAAGAGAAGACGACGGCTACTTGAGACCGAAAATCACAGTAATGGTAGTCCTGAGTTAGACAGCTTTCAGTGCCGTAAATCGTTGAGGAATTCCCGCGAATGTCAATGACTTCCATTATCAGGTATACTGCAGACCTTCATTATACATAATCCATATAGGTGCAAAGTTCTCATCAATATAAATGAATTAAGTCCAAACACGAGGTAGTTACTGTAAACCGTTCAGGAGTTCCCTGAGCTGTCCATCGTTCTCAACATCAGAGAATGACAGTCACGACCAATCTTGGTGCAAAGTGCTCACCAATACGAATCATTCAAGCCTAAACACAAGGCAACTACTCCAAATAATCAAGGAGATCCCTCGACTGCCTCCCGGCTCCATCATCAGGTCGGGTTCGAACGTCGGCAAGTTGTAAATTTGTCAAAAGCCTACTTAAACCATATGCAAAAGCACCACTGGCCCCTACAATTTTTGAAAGTTCCCCTCGATTTCTCTGGACTTCCATCATCAGATCCTGATTTCCTTATCATGGGACCATTTTGGAACTATCTCCTTTCCAATAAAAAAAGAATTATCAAAATCGGTTCATAAATAACGGAGATATCGGCGAACAAACATAAAAAAAAAGCATATATACGGTCGAATTGAGAACCTCCTCCTTTTTTGGAAGTCGGTTAAAAAAGTGCAATTTTTACACAATCCAATTACATTTTAATGCTGCACTTATTTAATTTTATCTTTATTATCAGCATAGAAACAATTCGAGCTGGATTAGTTGTGTAGTGTTTCGTTATCAATAGCAGAAGCTTTATCATTGTACTTATCTTATCTACTTGTCCTGCCTCTTTGAGTTGGTCACTGCACTAAAAACCTTCACTTGTCCAGTCAATTTTTGTAAGGAGTAATAAAAACCGTCATAGATGATGCTCAAACTCTTACTGACTAAAAACACCCCCGTTCATTATCCGGCCTTGGTCATACCGCAGGATAATGATAACTCCTGGTGTCTCATTGCGCTTACCCCGCAACCCCGGCTGAACATCAGCCCTATAGGGCCCCGTCTGTGGTGGTCCATTGGCTCTTTAAGGAGCGCGCGGAGTTGCGGGGTAGGTGCAATAAGGCACCGCGACCTGAGCCCAGAGCAGGAGAAGGAACAGGGGGTTTTTAGTCAGTAAGAGTCTGACACTCCCTGAGAAGTCATTCGAAAGTCAATAATCATTTATTCCAATTAGAACGTAACAGGCACTTTTGAACGTCAAACAAAATTATGAAGATATCCTCAATCCTATAATCCCATATAACCCATAAGAGGCCGGCATCGCACTTGTAGGAACTCCTTTGATATTACGAGTGTCCATTTGCGGCGCTGATTGCTTACCATCAGGTAATTCGTCTGCTAGTTTGCCAAACTATGACGTTAAAAATAATCTGTATTTCGATAATTTCCAGAGCAACATGGAGTTCGACCTCTCAAATTGCCTGGACCTGGTGAAGGCTGGCATGGAGTCTATAATCGAAGACCAGGTCACGTCCGTCTTCGAAGCCGAAGAGTTGAGGAGCTGGAATTTGTTAACCAGAACTAACAGGTTTGTAGTTGAATTATGAAATCGTGTTTTTTAACATAAAAATTTGCAATAACTCCTAATAATTTTGTTACGTGTCATATACATAAGTGTGGGAGAGCCAAGCTTCGACACGAATAGGTCGACTCGACCGGAGTGATACCACAGCCTTACAGAAAACCGGTGTGAAACAACCACATTGCTGTTTCACCGTGTAAGTGAGGTTACCGAAGGTTCAATCCCTCCCCCAATCCCAAAATCTCCAAATCCCTAATCCCCTAAAGGTTGACAACGCACTCGGTACATCCACCGTTGATGCATGGGATAGGCGGCGCTGATCACTTACCATCAGTATCACAAAAAAAACCTAAATCTGTTCAGCAGTTTACTAGTAAAAGCGTAACAAACGAACATTCACCTTTTTAAAAAACGTATTTAAAGTGTCAACTTGGAAATAATCGCAGTTGACTGCACGATAATAAACAACCACCTATGGATATCTTGATGTTTAATAATATGTTTAATCCAGTTATCTACAAAGATTATGAATTATACTTAGTCGGGTCATAAGTTCTGTCACAAACTTTTGATGTAATAACTTATACGCCTTTTGACAATTATTTAAAAATTATATATGAAATGAAAGGTCATTAAATGTACAATATAATTTTATTTACATTATTCGAAATGCCCTCCCCCATTTTGAACACATGCCCTTAATCTACGCGGCCAGTCATCGATCGCTGCACGCACCACATTCATATCTATGTCTGCCGCTGCTTTAACCAGAGATGCTCGGAGAGACTCCAAATTCGGGTGAGGTTTAGCACAGACTTTTTCCTCCAAATATTGCCATATCTTGTAGTCCAGTGGGTTTAAATCTGGACTAGAAGAGGGCCAGTCTTCATGCCGGATGAAGTCAATTCCACGAGCGATCAACCAGTCTTGCGTACTTCGTGCCTTATGAGCCGGTGCAGAGTCCTGTTGGAATATCCAATGCCTGTTCCTGAACATTGTCTGAGAAAGAGGTTCCACTATGTTTGTTAGGACAGTATTTTGATAAACTTCGGCACTAGTTCTCACACCTTTTTCACAGAAAAACACCTCAGTTACGCCTGAATATGAGACTCCAAGCCAAACCATGAATGAGGAAGGGTAATGCCCACGCTGGACCCTCGCAATACGCGCGCTTGCTTCTTCACTGCTGTGGGCATACACCTTATCATTTTGTTTGTTAAAACTTTCTTCAATAGTAAAAATTTTTTCATCCGAAAAAAGAATTTCGCGGTATTTTTTTCCCGCGTACCGTCGTAGCAAAGCGCGGGATCTGTCTAGCCTAATTTTTTTTAAACGCTCGTTCAAAAAATGTCCTGTCTTTTTACGATAAGCTCGTAGTCCCAGGTCTTCATTTAGTACTCTTTCAACAGTGGTTCTGCTTAGCCCCATCTGCAGAGCTAGGATTTTTTGTTTACGTACGGGATTTCGTTCGATTCGCGCCTTCACTGCTTTGATGACCTTATGTGTCCGAACTGTGCGAGGTCGGCCGCTTCTCTTACGATCTTCGAAGCTTGACTCTTCGGTGTATCGTTTGATAGTACGATAAACAAACCGTAACGTTATTTTCAAATTTTGAAGAATATTGAAAATGTCTTTTGGCGCGTAACCACAGCGGTGCAACGCGATAACCGCGATTCTGTCTTCTTTATTCGACCACTCCATATTTAAAAATGAATAAAAAATAATTTCTTTTTTATTTTCTACAAGCGCGATAGTTCTATTTTTAAAATAAGTCGAAGAATTTCTGGCCAGTAATCGAAAATTAAAAATATAAGGTTTTGACAGAACTTATGACCCGACTAAGTATATATGTATTCTAGAATCTACTGTCTATATCTCTTCTTTCAAAAAATTTATATGATTATATAAGTTATTTATCTTTGACATTGAATTAGAGATCTTTCTTTCCCTCCCCAATCCTTAAATCCCCGAAAACTTAAACCTCAAATGCCAGCAAACACACTCCTAACTCCTAAAATAAATAAAGAAATATAAAAGGCCATGCTTCGGTACTGGCATCGGTTCGATTAGAGTAATACCTTTTTTATAATAACTATCGTGAGACATACTAAATTAACTAAAAATCGCGGGTTACGCTGCCGCTAGTCAGTAGGCTGCGCGACGTCGCCGCGTCTTCGCACGCTGCTCATGAGGAAGAACCCTTCTGTGGTTCGAAACTAGTAGAGCTTTTCTCAATATATACACGTGAGTAACCCGCGATTTTAGTTAATTTAGAGTAATACCACCTCCTCATAGGTAACCTTCCAACCAACCTAACCTACTCTAATCCCTAATTGATGGGCAAGGCACTTGAATAGTACAGTAGCCCTCTGGGCATGATGACCTTGGCTGTTCGCAGCATACTCTATGTGTCCAACAGCCAATCATCATCATCATCATCATCAGCCTGTTGTCGTCCACTGCTGGACATAGGCCTCCCCAATTGCACGCCACTGAGCTCGATGTTCAGCTCTTCTCATCCAACCACTGCGAGCCACCTTGCGGATGTCGTCAGTCATCAGTCAGCCAATCATGGATACCCACAATACCACTTTTAGTGGTTCGATAGGGATTTGTCGTCATAAATCACCCTCAAACCTATTGTAAGGCGATGGTATCACTCGCTCGCGTGGAAGTCGATTTTATTTTCTCTACGTAGATACATATAAACCTTTTCTGGACTTCTGGACGTTGAGTTATAAAATTACTTACAACAAAAAGTAGCATTGCTTTATATATATATTTATGTATATACAGGGTGTAAGGGACAGCCTTCCGCAAACTGATAGGGAGGATTCAGTATATCGTCTTAAGTTGACCGGTACATGAAATTATTTCAGGAACGTTATGGGAATCCAATTAAACCGATTTGTTTCATTACCTTACACGCAATGTATCGCTACCACCGCAAACGCACGCAGCGAACGGCAGCGCTTTTAGTATTATTACTTTACACTATGGGCAGCGCCGCGACCTTACCTTTCGGACAAACGGTCGCGCTTGCGCCACGTTTTAATAACAATAAATTATTATTTACAAGATAGCCGCATTACTTACAAAAGACAATGTAATAATCGCGCCACGTTTTAATAACAATAAATTATTATTTAAAAGATAGCTGCATTACTTACAAAAAAAAATCTAACAATCATAACATGGTAACTGATAAATGATAAAAAAAGAAAAATGCGTAGGTACCTTAGAATCGCTCCGGTTTCCGGCTCTGGAAAGCATTTGTGATGCGGTCTCGCATTTCGTACTCACTTGCACACGCACTCACAAACACTTTTTCTTTTACGTAACCCCACAAAAAGGGGTCCAAATGGGTTAGGTCTGGGGATCGTGCTGGCCACGGTTGCGGTCCAAACCTACTTAAACTACGTTTAAATAGGAAAGCACTGGTAAGTGGTAGCGTCTCCTTACGTTAGCGAACCAATTCCAAAATCCACGTAGGTATTGGTCTTCCGGCGCCTTTTTGTCTGGGAACAATGGGCTGGTTTTCTAGCAAGCGTTGATAGTCACCAGTAATTATCCTGAAGTCTGATGGATGGCGACGGTCAGGATACCTACACTACTACAACACATTATCATCTCCCCATAATCACGCGCGCTAAACGTACCTAGGTAGTAATTTCGCACAATTTCTAAAACAAAACTTCACTACACTTCACACACTACATAACTAATAAAACTTAACAACACTACTTATAACAAAACTTTTAAGCCCAATGCGCGAGCGATCCGTGCCGACACACGCTCGCGGTACACAAACAATAACATCGCAGCAAGGCACAATGGCGACTGCATGTGATGAGACACACACAAACATAAATCTGTTGTTGCCAATTACACGAAAATTACAAAATTTCGGGGTAAAAAATAAAAAATAATGCATGGTCGTAATTTATCATTCTGTTATTTTTTGTAGAGAAATGAATTGATTAAATCAATTTAATTCTAATTTCATTGTTTAGTTAATTTAGAATAATAAAAGTGCAGTGTGATAGAAAGCTGTGCTTCCATTCCAGGGAGATTGTGTTTAATTTCTGGCTCGACTATCAATTCATGGCTATTGTGAAGCCATGTAAAAATCTGTAAGTAGTTTAAAAACTAGCCAGTAATCGCTTAAAAAGAACAATCAATTAATAAATTAGGTAGTATTTGTAAATGCTTTAAAATTAAAACTAGACTAATCTTTATTTATTTCTTATTGTTTGTTGATTGAATTGATTAATGAAAATCTCATCAACGTAATTATGAATGCAAAGGAGTTCTCAAGTTTTAGATAAATTTCGCTAGTTCTAACATTTCCGTTTACTACCTGAGGTAACAAAAGTTAAAAATTGGCAACACTGGTTCAATCGGGCAAACATTGTGCAAAGAATCGGGGAGACGGGGAGACGCGGAGGCGGGGCGATAGAAAGGGACGCAGCTATTCTGTACGTTGGACGGGATCGTAGGTATTATACCTACGGCGCGCGGCGCGGCGATCGGCGCGGTGGGGCGCCGAGCCGCTGCGCCGTGACCGCGGTGCGGTGAGTTCAAACGACTCGCGCTAGGTAGAAATTGAACAGCTGATTTCATGCGTAGTTCTTTAGAGAATTCACACAACCATTGCGTATTTTTTTGTTTTAGCTGTGTTATTTACATTAATGTTATTCTTCATACATACAATGTAATTATACATTGAAATAGAGGTGTAGGAACTGAAAAAACGAAAAAAAAATTGAAAATTTTCCTGAAAGAATTTTCACTGGAATATGATTCAGAATAAGGAGCTGAATGCACCCTGTTAATTTGTGGAGGGCTGTCCCTTACACCCTGTAGATATACATTGAAGTAATAATTTTTTCTTTTATTTTCAGACAATACGAGTTTTTAACGTGGCGTCTCACAATTATATGGGCGATGGGTTTCGTAGTCCGGTACATGTTCCTTCTACCGCTCAGGATAATGATTTTCGTCATAGGGGTGAGTTTTACCAGTATAATCTACAAGACTTCCCTCCAAGAATACCATAGGAGCCTCCTGGACTAAGTCTCTTGATAACCGACGAAAAAAGTTGACGGTCTCCTGGACTATGTTTTTATAGTCATATAGTATATGTTAGGCAGCTCCGTAACCGTAACCGAAACTATCGGATATCCGTAATTGTGACCGAATCCGATATAAAAGTATCGGATAGGGGCGGAGCCTAATTGAGACACGTTATGTTTGAATTTTACTTTTGAAATTCCTTAAAATTTCAAATTATTTTACGTTTCAAGATATTTTTTTAAATCTTCTCTACGTATAAACCTTCTCTTGACTTCCACGAATAATTATTCAAGGCAAAAATTAGCCAAATCAATAAAGAAATTATTGTGTTATAACATTACAACGAAAAGTGGCATTGATCTATTATATAAAAATAAATCAAATCAAAAATGTGTTGGTAAGCGCATAACTCAAAAACGCCTGGACCAATTATGCCAAATCCTTTTTTTTGTATTTATTAATGTCAGGAGAAGGTTCTTATGAAAGAAAATATTAAGAAGTAGAGGGGGAAAAGGGACTCTTTGTTGTTAGCAAGATAGTAGAACCCGTGCGAAGCGGGGGTGGGCTGCTAGTTTTTATATAATTATATAGATTGACCTAGGGAACTACGGGAGCTACCCAATTGGGTAGTTTCCTAGGTCAAAAATAAATTAATTCGACGTTTCAATACAATAAAATATTGAAAAATAACTATACATTTATTCATCGATCGATCAATACACTAAATTTTATAGTCAGACTTTTAATTCGATTCCTGATTTGACATTGACCACTGTCATTTTGTGAAATAATGATACCACATATAACAGTGTAGTGATGAACACAAAAATCGATAAACAATCAGTGAATCAGGTTCAGGAAGGCATTCAAAAAATTACGGCTACCGAATGGTCTAAATGTGTATCCCATGTTTTCAAAGAAGAGGAAAAAATGAGTAAACTAGATATGTTAATTGACAATAAATATCAAAGACACAATTCATAATAAATGTTACATAGAGTTATGGCGATAGCGATAGCGATGACGGCGACAATTTATAAAATGTCTGTTTTATTAGTCACGTTAATTCATGATCACATTTTTTATTAATTTCACACACAATTACAAAAGAAAAGTCTCAGATCGTTAATTAATTGTCAAAACTAAATTATCGGTTCAGAAATATTTTATTTCCTGATAAACTTAGTTTACGAGAGTAAATTTATAAACGAGAGGAATCGATTCAGAAATATTCGATTTCCATATCGAATAATTTCGCAACGTCACTATTTATTACGTGTCATAACGTTGCAACACTGAAATTGTCAAATCTGGAATGGAATTAAAATTCCGAGTATAGATATTTTTAAGCTACTTTTTAATAAATAACCTATTTGGCGCAAAAAAAAACTATGACGTCATAACTCAGTGTTTCATAAAAATTTAATAGAAAAGTATCGTTTTTGACATTTGGATAAAAGTATTAAATTTGACTAGTTTGAAACTACCGTATTCTGGTTGCTCAAGAGACTTAGGTCTTGGAGACTCCTAAACTATTAATTTTTTTTTATCACCCAGTAATTTTATGTACGAAATTATGTATATTTAGAAGGGTTCTATTCCCGATACATTATCCCCTTTATTACAAAATAAGATTTATATGTATGTAGGTTTAAACCATTGTGACAGGTTCTGTATTTTGAATCCTATTCTCAGCTACCTTGAATTTGAAATACAAAAAAACTGGCTCAATGGTTTAGACCTAGGCTAAAGAAAAACCTTGTTTTGTTTAACCGAATATGTTTGGTCATATTCAAAATGTTATACTTAAACGTATTTTTTTAGTATTTTTTTTCTATATTTGTATGTATTTATATTTCTCTTTTTTTCTTTATTTGCTAATTTTCCTTTTTCTTTCATTTCTTACTAACGAATCTCTTCTTTCTTTATTTATTTTTAATGTAACTAAATTTTTTTTAATTCTATTTCTATTCAGCCATATTTTTATGAGGATTATAGATTGCAGTTTAGTCAAATTCTCATTAAGAAGTCGATTCCGATCACTATTTCTTAGATAGTTTAATATTTTCAAGTCTTATAGAATTTCACTTACAGTGCTGTCTTAAAGTTATAGCATGGAGTCTGATAAAGTTAAATCACTACATAGTATAAAACTAAGTCGCTTTCTCTGACCCTATGTACGCTTTGGAACTACGCAACGGATTATGCAGCATTTTTAACAGATGTGTGAGATTATTTATACAGCATTTTAACAGATAGTGTGATATTATATGAGAGTGATTGCAGAGGAAGGTTTATATAGTATAGTAACACCCATAAAATGGTGGAGAAATTTAGTGTCGACAATGCACCCGTGCAAAGCCAGAGATAGCGACGTTGTTTTTTACTATTTAGTGAATTATTAAATAGAAATGTTGAAATATTTTTTGACTCGATCAAGCATCCAATTTTTCCTACGGTGACCGATATCCAGTTAATAATTTTACTATGGTATGAAATGTAGCTCCTGCTAAGGCCTAAAATACACATTCCAGTTCAACAATTTAAAAATGCCATGTTATATTGACAAATTGGACTTTCCCATCAGGTTATAGTAATGGTTTTCTCAACATGGGTCGTGAGTTTAGTACCATTCGTTCGTCTCCGTAACAAACTTGGAAAGATCTCGTACAAAACCAGCATCCGGGTCATCATCAGGGGCCTTTCCATCCACGCAAGGTTCCATGATGAGCAGTACCGTCCACGAGCCAATGGATTCTGCGTTGCCAATCACACCAGCCCCATTGATGTGGGCGTTCTAAGCATCAAAACGTGTTTCTCTTTGGTAGGACGTTTTCTGGAATTTTCTGGGTGATAAGTTACGTCTGGGTAGTACATTGTGTCTGTTTTTGGTTATACGTTTGGGTAATTATAAGTTATCTGCCTGTATTACTGGATATAGAATGATGATGTAAACTCCATCATGTAAAATGTATCAATATTCTATCGAGTAAGACCATAAGACTGACCACAAAACTTCAAGATTGGAGTTTGCATATGTTGTATTTGGGTGGTACGTCTGGGTTAACCGTATGGACATTGTTGTTTCGTTTTAAGCCGGGTTATTAATTGTGACGAGTCTTGGGTGATTCATTGTGTCTGTTCATGTTTTGGGTAGAACGTCTCTGGAATGTAAGAATGGGTGATACCGCTGTCAATGTTGAGGTTTCTTTAATGGGATCAAGTGAAAAGTTAGATTTAGATGCGAGCTACTATTTGTTTGCGCATCAGATTGGTGTACCATAAGGTTTTGTTTGTATAATAACTGTAGCTACCTATAAAACTGAATGTCTTCTGGTTTGATTAATAATTATCTTTGAAGCGAACAGACCGTTACTGCATTATCACCGCCTGGGGAGCGCTAAAACGTTGATAACATCATCAGTCTGTATGTGGCCACTGCTGAGCAAAGGCCTCTTCTCACACGGAGAAGGTTTGAGCATTAACCACCAATCTTGCTCAAGGCGGATTGGAACATTACAATTAGAAATAATAAGTCCAGGTTTCCTCACGATGTTGGCCTTCATCGTATGTCAGTGGTATATAAATAATCATAGAAAGTATATATAACTCAGAAAAAGTCACATTGGTAGTTGCCAGGTGTCGAACTCGCACCCTCGTGCATGAGACGCGGGTGCCTTAACCTCCGGGCCACCACGACATAATAACGGTATGGACGTGTTTGGGTAATACGTCATAAATTGGGTGAAACATTTTATCTAGCGTTATGGATGAAATGGTCAAATTATGTATAATGGAACATGAAATATGGCTGTCTATCTGTCTGTCCGTCCTTCTCGCTTTGTGTTGTTCTCTTTTCTATTATTTATCTTTAACGCTTTTTCTTTCATTCTTTTATATATATATATATTTTATTAAAATTATGTATTTTTATGTTTATTATTGCTATAACTTTACTAATAACTAACTCATATAAATTGAGATGTTTAAACGTATACTGGGTTAGACGTTTGGGGTTCGAATCCCAAGTCCGGCTTAGTAATACTAAGAATATTCTCAAATATGGTTTATCGGTTTAAATGGTTAAACTAAAGGTAAACAATGTTGGTATGTCTTTTTATATTAAAGAGCTCGTATAAAGTACATACAAAGAGTATTTAAATTCAGTTTATTAGCTAACATCGATTTAGGTAAATAGCTGATTGTAAACATTTTTACACACAACTTTGAAATAAAAAGGCATTCCAAGATTATTTTCATTTTCTTAATTAATTAATTAAACCGATAGACTATAGCAACATTAATTGGCTCCCTAAGAAATATCTACAGTTCACTAGACCACCCTTCTCTATGTTCCCCTTCATCAAATATGTTGTCTTTTATAATGACCATTTGTGTTTGTCCAACAGCATACATAATATATGTGAATATTTTGATTGAAAATTTTATTTCGCGAGCATGCCAGCACGGAACAACTCTTTGTGTGATCCACAAACTGTTGTTCCGTGAGTCTGGGTGTGACGTGTATGTGACATTGTATGTTTGTAAACGCACCCATGACACGTGAAAGAATCCCAGGGCGGGGCAATATTTTAAAATATATTTTTTCGCGAAAAATTTTCAATCAAAAATTCGTCATGGAGTGTCATACCGCTTTTAGGTATGGTGGCTTATAGCTTGTACCGCCTGCATCGGGACCTTGCCAGACGGAAAAACGAAACAGCGCATCAACTATGCAGTCTCAGTTATGTGTTTCAACTTTCTATCACGTTGCATATCGGCCGTGATTACATATCACGATGCACATTATAAACCCAAAAATGGTATCTGTGTCGCCAACCACACAAGTCCAATCGATGCGCTAGTGCTGATGTGCGATAACTGTTATTCGTTGGTGAGTATTTTTATTTATTTTCTCTCGCGTAGTTTGTTTTTGAATCTTGTTACCTTGGCTAGTTTTGTAGATGGTTTTTTTGTGAGGGGAACATTATCAAGTGAGTTCTGACTAAATACATACCCGTTCCTTCTCCTGCTCTAAAAATGTATCGCAGCTCAGGCCTAAAGCAGGAGAAGGAGCAGGGTGATTTTTAGTCAGTAAGATTCTGACACTCCCTCTCGTCTCCATGAGAAGTTTTTCGATGGTTTTCCCTTCTCAAAAAAAGCCTAGACTGAATGGTCAAGAGTAAGGCCTGTAGGCCTACCATGACGTGTTAAAACGTCAATTTTCCGAGCGACAAAGAGGGATGGAGATATAAACGGTGTATAGCTCCATCCCTCTTACTCGCCCGAGAGATTGACGCTTTAAGACGTCATGGTATTCTATAGTTTATTCTGAGGTTTGAATTTGTTTCGAGTAACCTATAATCAGCAAAAGTATAGGTAGAGTAGATGCCTTAAAACTACTATAGCGCCATCTGTTATCTGTGACAGAGAAACAGTTTGACAAAAATCGATTGTTTTACATGTTATATTAATTTTATTGGGCAAACTGCATATTGCTACTTTAATTAATATTTTTGGGAAAATTTGTTTTTGTGAATTATTTGTTTTAAATGTTTTTGTGTTCGTCCTAGGGTTGTCATGTACTTGTTATCGGTTTTGTGTTGCATGTTATGGTTTTTTTTATGTTAAAGTTTCGGGTTCGAGTCCCAGGTTTGTTAATTTCTTTTTTTTTTTTATTACTATTAAATTTTTGGTATTGTGCTACATTACTTCTTATGGTATCACTGGCTCCTGGGTTCGATTCCCGTTCATAATATTATTTAAAAAAGGTAGGAAATATAGCAACTGGATATTATTATTACATGAAGTTATAGAAAATTGATAGCCAAATATGCTAGTATTACATGAAGTATTTTAAAATTAAAACCGAAACTTGGTATTACTTTAATAATGTAAACTCCAGCTGTATGTAAATTCGAGTAAGGCCCTGCAAACATAGCAAGGAACCTAGGTCCGAATCCCATAGGCTAGACGAAACATAAAGTGTTTTCGAAAGACATATCAACCCCAGCCCTATGTTCCTGGCAAAGTGCAATCATGTACCTTGGCTTTACTCAGAGCAGGAGAAGGAACGGGGGGGTTTTTAGTCAGTAAGTCTTGACATTTATCTAGAAAAAGCAAATCATTCAAAACAATCTTTATATCTTATACCAGCTACTGTCCCACGGTTTCACTCGCACAGCTCGACTTACATATCGTAGCGTGATGTTTTATAGCCTATAGCACTCAGGAACATTGTAGCTATCTATCAGTGAAACAATTTTGGTAATCCGACCAGCGGTTCCAATGATTACCCTCTACATACAAACTTACAAATTTTACATCTTTATAATATTAGTATAGATATGATATGTGTATCTCTATCTTTAATATAAATCGAAATATTTCAGATCGGTCAAAGACACAACGGTTTCCTAGGTATACTACAGAGGGCGCTCGCGAGGGCGTCCCCTCATATCTGGTTCGAGAGGTCAGAGGTCAAAGACAGGCATGCTGTTGCTAAAAGGTGAGTCATTCTTGACTGAAATCATCGTCAACGTCATCATCATCATTGTGACGCTTATTATTTATGTGTTAGGTCGGCTATCGAGCAGACGGACTACCTGATGGTAAGCAATCAGCGCCGCCCATTGACATCCGTAACTGAGGAGTTCAAGTGCGTTTCTGACCTTTTAGGGATTAGGAATTGGGGTAATTGGGGATTGGGGGAGGGTAAGGATTGGGTCTCCGGCAACATCACTCACACTGTGAAACACAACGCTGTGATTGTGCAGGTTTTCTGTGAGGCCGTAGTATCACTCCGGTCGAGCTGACCCATGGCTCTTCCATTCATGGAGATCGTTTTCTATATCATCATCATCAGCCTGATGTCGTCCACTGCTAGACATAGGCCTCCCCAATAGCACGCCACTGAGCTCGATGTTCAGCTCTTCTCATCCAACCACTGCCAGCCTTACGGATGTCGTCAGTCCACCTAGCTGGAGGGCTTCCGTGCGCGCCTCAAAGAGCCAATATACCACCACAGACGGGGCCCTATAGGGCTGATGTTCAGCCGGGGTTACGGGGTAAGCGCAATAAGGCACCGCGACCTCGGCCCAGAGCAGGAGAAGGAACAGGGGGGTTTTTCCCCTCACAGAAAAAACCCTACACTACATTGTGCCCTACACTAAATTTTCTAAATATTTAATAATTAATTTTCAGATTAAAAGAACATATATCTATACCGGACAACCCTCCGATCCTCATCTTCCCCGAGGGTACGTGCATCAATAACACTTCTGTCATGCAGTTCAAGAAGGGTAGCTTCGAAGTAGGAGGCACCATATACCCGGTCGCGATCAAGTAAGTGCTTAATTACATTGGTTTTCTTGTCACATAGCGAAGGAACGAACAAGATATGGCATGGGGGGGTTTTTAGTCAGTAAGAGTCTGACACTCCCTCTTACCTTAATCGGGGGGACCTGAAGTAATTTAATTACTATACACTAGCTACTCTCACGCGGTTTAACCGGCTGCTCGGCTCCATTTGATCGTAGCATGATGTTTTATAGCCTATAGCACTCAGGAACATTGTAGCTATCTATCAGTGAAAGAATTTTCGCAATTCGACCAGCGGTTCCAAAGATTACCCCCTACATACAAACTTACAAATTTTACCTCTTTATAATATTAGTATAGAGTAGTTTTTGCCCGCGACTCCGTTCGCGTGGAACAGTGACGTCCTGCAAATCCTATGTCCTTTCTCGTGTTCCAAACTATGTCTGTACCAAATTTCACAGAAATCGGTTCAGTAGTTTAGGCGTGAAGAAAACACACACACAGACAGAGTTACTTTCGCATTTATAATATTAGTTTGGATGAAGGCGCTCTAAATGCGCTTTCTTCGTCCCAACGTAAGCGTTAATCTCTAAAAGTACTCAAAAATAACCCCTCAACAGATACGACCCACGCTTCGGAGACGCATTCTGGAACAGCTCTCGATACGGTATGCTCCACTATCTCCTCAACATGATGACCTCGTGGGCCATCGTCTGCGACGTTTGGTACCTACCGGCTATGACGCGCGCCGCTGACGAATCCGCTGTGGACTTCGCGAATAGAGTCAAGGCTGTCATCGCGAGGCGGGGAGGTCTAGTCGACTTGATGTGGTAAGTGCAGCTGATAGAATTGCCTTTTAGCTAGTTAACCATCATTGTTCTATGTAATAAGTCGACAAACGAGCAGACGGATTACCTGATGGTAAGCAATCAGCGCCGCCCATGGACACCCGCAACGGAGGAGTTACAAATGCGTAGCCGACCTTTTAGGGATTAGGGTTATGGAGATTTTGGGATTGGGGAGGGATCGGAGGAGGGGAAGGATTGGGTGCCCGAAAACCTCACTCACATGGCGAAACACAACGCTGTGGTTGTTTCACTCCGGTCGAGCCGACCCATTCCTGCCGAAGCATGGCACTCCCACCTTTAAAAGCCATTCACCCAACAAAGCGGGGTTTTTTGGACAAGCCCTACTAAAACCGCTTCAACTCCGGCCACCTGCAACTGCAACCAGGATCTTCAGTAGATACGACCATTAAAAAACCGGAACACTGAAGTCCAGCGCGTTCCAAAGACGTGACTGTCTTGGATCCCGCAACAAAATGAACCAGAAGATTTTGTTTGAGGAGAGAAAATAACAAAATAGTTGCAGTTTTAGAACGTCAGTCTTGTTGGTGTATAGGAGTTGCAGTGGTTTTGGAAGGTTGTGGCGGGCTTGTCCCAAAAAAATGGCGCTGATCTGTCTGCCCATTTGCTGCCCTGGTTTCTGTCATGTCAAGTTTTTTTTATGTAATAGGTCAGCTAACGAGCAGACGGATTACCTGATGGTAAGCAATCAGCGCCGCCCATGGACACCCGTAACGGAGGAGTTAAGAGTGCTTTGCCGACCTTTTAGGGATTAGGGAGGGATCGGTGAAGGGAAAGGATTGGGCCTTAAGTCATTTGATAATTTTCCCCCTCACAAAAATAAAAATTGCTTAACTTTGTCTAACCTAAACTTCCTTTGTTACAGGGACGGTCAGCTAAAACGCATGAAACCCAAAAAGGAATGGAGAGAATTACAACAAGAAGAGATAAGCAAAAGATTAAAAGGAGAATAGTTATTTATTAAAAGTAGGTTTTAATGGACTGATCGACGCTGGGCGAGCCCAGCTACTCGTGTTAACACGACCCCCCACCGAGTTTGATATCTCTCATCACACAGAATTGTCAAAAACACTATTCTCATCAGCCTATAAGTGCCCACTGCTGAGCAAAGGTCTCTTCTCACACGGAGAAGGTTTGAGCATTAACCACCACGCTCGCTCAAGGCCATTTCAAACTTAAGAAATTATAAGTCCAGGTTTCCTCACGATGTTTTCCTTCACCGTATGCCAGTGGTGTCTCTAATAATAATTATATTGGTAATTGCCAGGTTTCGCACCCTCATGCATGAGAAGCGATGTTTTGTTGTACAGTAATAAAGTTAAACTATTACGAACATCGAAAAGTATTCTTGCGTAGACATAATGTATAGAAAATTACCTTTGAAAAACTTGTGTACAACGCCATATTTTAGTGGACACTCGAACTAAAACGAAGCATTTATGAATTACATGCATTTTTTTTTTTTATTTATGTTTAACTTAGGCTTATTTGCGTAACTGTTTGGCTCAGTAGTTCGGCTTGGTAAACTTGTTAAATCGATTCAGTTATTGTATAATATATGCTATTCTTGATTATAGGCCCCGTCGTGGCTTGAAAGTAGTCGGGTTACCCTGTCAAACATTTACGAGAATTAGCCAAGAAATGAAGTAATATAATACATATGTTATGTAACTATGATAGTTATAAATACAAATCAAAATAATATATTCAAAATAGAATAGTAGTCTGTCAGTCTGTTCGTCAGTGAAGCTAGGTGCTCGTTCCAAAGTGTAAAACAACGAGCATGAAACTCCAACATTCACGATATAGGTGAAATATAATAAAATTGTTATTTTGTATAGTAAAAATTATTTATTGATAATAATTATCATACAGAATTATTCTGTATGACCCATATACATAGTTAAGGAGGATATCAAATTCGGTAATACACACTCAGTTTCTGAAAGGCTTTTCTGATTAATATTCAACCGGCGTGAAACGACCACAGCGTTGTGTTTCGCCGTGTGAGTGAAGTTACCAGAGGCCCATTCCTTCCTCATTCCCAAAATCTCCAAATCCCTAATCCCTAACTCGTAACTCCTCCGTTGTTGAGGGTGTCCATGGGCAGCGCTGATTGCTTACCATCAGGTAATCCGTCTCATAAAAAAGGACACGCACGTTCTTATTAACAGCTTTCAAGTATTGATGAGCGTTTCAGAAACTGAGTGGTTAGTCTTTTTTAAAAAGTTCTTGTGAAGTTTGAAAGAGAAAGCAATATATTTTTGGATTGCTCAATGTTGAAGAATGTGTAATGGCTATACGAAATAAATGTTGTAATATATTCGATATGATAATTTTTTTGTTTTATTTTCTCACCTGCACGTCGATTCTATAAAATTTGTTTGATTTTGAATCTCGTTCGAGTGTGAAGTGGCGGGTAAATTACATTATAGAATGCCACTTTTAACGTCATCTCATAACTGGCGACACTACGGGCGTCGGGGATCAAGGGAAGATCTCCGGCCACCGTAAGCGCGGGTCTGCGGTCGGCGAGTAAGGGCAGCTCGCCGCCCGACCAGAACCAGGCCCGAGCGTACGGCGCGTAGCGTTCCGCGCGCGCCTCAAAGAGCCAATAGACCACCACAGACGGGGCCCTAAAGGGCTGATGTTCAGCCGGGGTGGAGAAGCGCAATGAGGCACCTCGACCTCGGCACAGAGCAGAAAAAGGAACAGGGGGGTTTTTAGTCAGTAAGAGTCTGACACTCCCTCCCGCCCGGCCCTGGGCGGGAGAAGTAATTTGATGACTTTCCCCTCACAAAAAAAAAACGTCATCTCATACTTTATCTATCAAAATGTTGCGGTCAATTTAGTTCAACTCGCAAGTGTAGCGCTAGTGTACTACTACTCATAGCGGATTCAAATTCGAAGTTTAGAATCAGAATCACCTATTCGGATAATTTTTATTTTTTTTCTCACCTGTTCCTGTCAATTTAGGCATTCGACGTTAGTTTTTTGACCATTGATATTGAATAAAATAATTTCCATACATGGGAATGGTGGGAGACATTCAAACTAATATTATAAATGCGAAAATAACTCTGTCTTTTCTTCACGCCTAAACTACTGAACCGATTTTTGTAAAATTTGGTACAGACATAGTTTGAGTCGAGAAAGGATATAGGATAGTTTTTATACCAAAAATCTGCAGGAAGTCACTATTCCACGCGAACGGAGTCGCGGGTAAAAGCTAGTTGTTTATTTGGTATTATGTTTTAAACAATTTCATAGATTTTTATAGCTTGTTGGAACTTTATGTAACATCTTTCTTATTTTTTGGTCTAAATTGACCAGACTAACCACTTTTTCCATTTGTCAAAGAATAAAGTTGCTTTGTAGGCACAGGAATCGACGAATTAACTAATGGTAGGTAACCTTTTAGGGTCCGTGATTTGAGGATTTACGGCTGGAGTACCTAACTATTGGGCCCTAAAAGAGTCTATTGGCTCTTTGAGGGACGCGAGACAATGTCTGGAGATCGTCACTCGATGCCCGACGCCGGGAGTGTGGTCTACTACGGCGACTGGGGCGTAAGGAAGATAGATGACTGCACGGTTGGCGCGGTGGCTGGACACTAAGCTGCCGCGCAACGTGTCTGCTCTACCCCTTTTTTGATGCGGCAAACTCATCGAATGACTTTAACCGCCCTTAGTTTGATTAGTGGAAATATTTCTCTGGTTGTGGGTCAGTCGCAGATATATACCGCGGCCCGACCCACAGTAAAAGAGGGAACAGGAGAAATAAAAAGAGGGATGTGTGGTTTTTAGCCAGTGAGAATCTGACACTACCTCTGGCCCCATCTATAGCCTCTCTATACATTTTTTCTTCTCAAATAATATCTTCTGATTTATATCGTTGCGAAATCCAAGACAGTCATACATGCACCAGGGACGCAGTGGACTTCAGTGTTCCGGTTTTTGCATGGTTGTGTCTACTGTAGATCCTGGTATAAAGGTGTTAGAGCGGTTTAGGAGGGTGTAGCGGGCTTGCCCTAATTTATTAAAAAAGGCCTCCCGTGGCCGGATATCGAAACATCGGCTCTATTAGGCGACATCTGTGGTAGTTTATGAGGTACTTGCCAAATGCGCTCATTAGCATAAAATCCACCTTCTGACCTACAATCACGGTCGCCAATGAACCACTACAATCCCGAAGTATTTGCAAAATGCGGTGGCTTGGGCAGGCCACGTCGCTCGTAGGATGGACCCGAAAAGTACTAGAGTGGCGACCAGAAAACGTAATATGGGCAGTCGGTTCACCTAAAGGGAGGCCCTTTAGGTGGACTGTCTGACGACATCGTCAGAGTCGCGGGGAGCCAATGGATGCAGGTGGCAACTTGTCGACGACGTGAAGGGCTAGGAGGGAGGTCTATGTTCAGTAGTGGACGTTTTCCGGCTGATGATGATGATGATGATGATATTAAATAGTGAAGTTTAGTATCAGCATAGCACACGTGTGACGCCAGGACCGGAGTTGAGTATAAGTGCTTACGAGTAGGTAGGTATGATTAAACATTAGTCATATTTCTAGGAAATCTACTTATAACTACCGAAATCGCTAACCTCAAATCACCATTAGAAAAAAAAGTTAACGTAATGTGTAAAAGCTTCGTCCAAAAAAACGTTGCGTCTTGTTGTGAAATTATGTCGCAATCAATGGTCGCAATAGGAAAAATGGTCTACTCAAATACGTTTTCCTTATTATTTTAAACACACTTTTCATAATCAGAATTCACTTTCTATTTCAATAAACGCAATAATGGCACCTTTTTTGTCAGGGGAAATCATCAAATGACTTCTCCCGCCCAGAGTGAGGCGAGAGAGTGTCAGACTCTTACTGGCTAAAAACCCCCCGTTCCCTCCTGCTCTGGGCCGAGGCCGCAGTGACTTATTGGGCTTCCCCGGCTGAACATCAGCCCTATAGAGCCCCGTCTGTGGTGGTCTATTGGCTCTTTGGGCCCGCGCGGTACGTTACCCGCCGTACACTACCCAGGGCGGATACTTAAATCATAATAATTTAAGTATCCGCCCATAATTTAAATATGACGATTATGACCAGAGAAAAAAAATGAAAACAAAAAAAAAGTTATGGCAAAGCTACATTTAAGGTATCTTGTAAGAAAATCGATTCAAATTAATATTAATTAATTAAAAGTTACAACCATATACTTAATACGGTAGTTTGTTACCTACATAACGTTGTGTTACGATACGATAGGAAGTAAGTACGTGAATCAATACTTAAATAATCTATAATATAAAAATGAATGGCAAAATGTGTTCGTAAGCGCATAACTCAACAACGCCTAGACCAGTTTTGCTAATTCTTTATTTGTTGTTTTTGTTATTGTCAGGGGAAGGTTCTTGTCAAAGAAAATATTAGAAAAGTAGAGGGGATGATTATGACAAAGTTACCCTTTTATAGCGAGATAGTTGGACCCGAGCGAAGCGGGGGCGGGCCGCTAGTCTTCTTATATATAAAAATAGATCGCAAAATGTGTTGGTAAGCGCATAACTCAACAACGCCTAGACCAATTTTGCTAATTCTTTTTTTGTTGTCTTTGTTATTGTCAGGAGAAGGTTCCTATCAAAGAAAATATTAGAAAAGTAGAGGGGAGGTGAAGATTAGGAAAAAGTGACCGTTTGATAGCGAGATAGTTGGACCCGTGTGAAGCGGGGGCGGGCAGCTAGTTTAAAATATAAGTTGATCAATAAAACTATTCCCTTTGAGAAAAGTAACAGCTGTTCTAATAACTAGAGAAATAAAACTTAATAACCCCAGTTTAAAGTAATCTGTGGTAATAACGAGTAGACAATTAAACTAGTGATGTCATTAATACTTGGTTAAAGGAGTACCTAATACACAAGTATTAAGTTTAGTGTTACAGTACTAAATACTCAATACAAGTTCATATAGTAGAATCGGACGATTGTCGGCTGTTAATATTATATTATATGTTTATAAGATCCACTACGATGGAGGGCTTTCAAGTGAAGTACATAATGGTCTGTTATTCTGTTAGGTACTTTATTATACGTATACAAGGACGTTAGATATTGATTGAAATATAAATAATAACACTTACACTTGTTTGTAAATTGAGAGCGAAATATTATATTAGGATTTTTTTTATTATTAGATCGGTAAATGGGCTGACGGATTACCTGATAGTACCTAAGCAATCAGCACCGCCCATGGACTTTTGGGGATTAGAGATTTGTATATTTAGGGATTAGGGGAAGGGAAAGATTGGGTCTCCGGTAGCCTCACTGACACGACGAAACACAACGCTGTGGTTGTTTCACGCCGGTTTTCTGTGAGGCCGTATCACTCTGGTCGTGCCGAAGCATGGCTCATTCACACTTTTGTGCTATAAGCTGGATATTTAAATCATGTAACACCGAGTTTTTACTAGTTATTTTATTTACGACTCCTATATAAGTAAGCCGTACGTTTACTTGCCCAAAGTAGTGCGCCCTCCAGCTAGATGGACTGAAGACATCCGCAGAGTGGCTGGCAGTAGTTGGAGGAGAAGAGCTGAACACCGAACTCAGTGGCGTGCGTCGTCCAGCAGTGAATAGAATCAGGTTAATGATGATGATTATATTAGTTAGCCTATTCCGAAATGCCAGGGTTATAGATCAGGCGCAATAATGTAGGTACTGCGGCCCCAGCCTGGAGCAGGACAAGAACCAGGCTGGTTTGTTATTCCAGTAAGAGTCTGACACTCCCTCACTCCCACCCAGGGCGAGAGCACTCACTTGAAGATTATAGGACTTCAAAAAACCTATATCTACGCAGATAAAAAAAGAAAAAGAGACTGACCTCTGAGTTTGTTTCGGCATTTCTTCTCAGAGTAGTCAGATAGGAAATGCCGGCTTCATCTAGTTTTTCACATAAATTGACGTGTAAAAGTGCCGTTTTATGGCCTATTTGCAAAAATAAATTCATTGTTTCATTGATATCGGGCACAATTCTAACTAAATCCGTGATGAACGTAACAAAAAATCGATGAGACACATTTACCAATTGTATTCCTAGGCCTAATCGTTGCCATCAATTATGTGTATACCTGTAATAGGCATTTATACCAGTAATGCTATTGTCATGTATCTTATATATTTCCTATGTTGCTGTGTACCTAATAAATAAATAGTCCACAGACAAAGTTGGCCGATCCAAAAAGCAAATAACATTTATCTCAAAAACCGCATCTCACACTTAAAGCCAACAAAACTACGCAATCACTATCAATAACATTACATATATAAATTAATTTATTTAATAACTAGCGTGATGGAGGTTTTATGGGGTCAAATGTTTAAATAGCAATCAATTTAAGAGATAAAGAATATGTGTTACATTTTTTTATCTTCAGTGAAAAGTTTTACTTTGTTGTTTTATTGTAAGCATAGGTAAGTCTCATGGCTGACGATACGGTATAAGTAACGTGTTATGTCAGAGAAATGGCAAAGGAACTCATAAAAATTAAATGTAACAAACATTTTTCACTGATTTTAGTTAGAGACTGTGTTATAATTAAGAGTTTTGAGACTCAACAGCACAATCTCTACTCGTTTGAAAATAAAAACCTTCTTTTATGTTATTGGATAGAACTATAAAGAACTTGGTAAATGGGAATTCATTGTCATCATCATCATCAGCCTATAAGTGCCAACAACTGAGCAAAAGAATTAGGCAACCACCACCACGCTAAGACAGATTGGCAATTTAAAACTTATCATTAGAATTATCTAGCAGTCCAGGTTTCCTCAAGATGTTTTTCTTCATCGTATATCAGTGGTGTCTAAATTAATTTAGACACGGCCACCACGACCCCTACATAGGAATTGGATTGTTGAAAATTTGATGAGACTTTACGCACTCTGGGATAGCATCATTCATGTCAAAATATATATAGCCATATAGAAAGCCATATACTTAAGCTGCTTTTAGACACTGAATATCCCAAAAAATACCTGTGGAAACCATTTTACATGTTCTTGCAAGGAAAATAACGGTATATAAGAAGTATCTAACTATTCAATTAAACAGACAATCGAACAAAACGCTCCGACAAACCGTGTATTATATAATAATGTTTATCAAATACACTCTGTGTAATAAATTGATAGCGTAGATAACCTAGCCTTGGTCGGCTGTTTATTCTACATACCGTCGCCTAGCCGAACGGACGTGTCAAAAATTCAAAATGGTGCGCGTTCCAACTGTAACTTTTAATAACGGACAGAAAATTCCCGCCATCGGAATTGGCACTTGGAAGGTAAGTAATTAATTTTTGTTTGTTTACTTTTTATTATTGATGCAGTTGATTTAATATTAGTTTAAGACAATTTTCTATTTTTTGGTCTTTTTTGGGACATGTTTTTACGATTTCAATTAAGCTTATTTATGATGTGAGGCTGCGAACGAGCGTACTGATAACCTGGATGATATCTAAGACCTCAACACATAAGGAGTTACAAGTGCACTGTTGCTTTTAGGGGTTGTTAGTTGATGGAGTTAGAATTGTGTTTGAAATAAAAGTGATAATCCAAAGTAATATTATAAATGCGAAAGTAACTCTGTCTGTCTTTTCTTTACGCCTGAACTACTGAACCGATTTCTATGAAATTTGGTACAGACATAATTTGGAACTCGAGAAAGAACATAGGATGATGGAGTTTTTATACTAAAACTCTGCAGGAAGTCACTATTCCACGCGAACGGAGTCGCGGGCAAAAGCTAGTTTTTATAAGTTTTTTTGTATTTTTTTAACAACTCTTATTTTAGATATATTTGTCCGTTACCATCTATTTTTTCCTACAATATTTGAGTGTGAAGTGTTTTAAATTAGGTATAGACTTTAACTTCTGTACCAAGAAAAAAAAATAGTTTTGAATATTAACTACATACTTACATAGACATAAGATACATACTAAACAGTAACAATACGAGATAATGCTTAGCTTAAATATAGATATGAGACGTTTAGGTAATGTCAAACGAAAGGAAACAATCATGTATGTGTGAAATTAAACGATCTGAATATAAAATCTACTATTTATTGTCTATTTTTAGACATCCGGCGTGCTTTTATAAAACAAAGATCGATCCAGATATTTTTATTATAGGTACTTAAGTTTTTAAGCTGAAGAGTTATCAATAATTCTTTAATTTTGTCATTAGAGTACCTAATAAACGGCATTCAAATCAAAAAACTTTGTGTTGAAGGGGAGGAGGAGGTCTCATTCAATTTGAAGCCTTATTTATAGTTAGATGATTTTATTTTAGTAAATAGGTAGAACTTAAAACAGAACTTTGCACATCATTATGAGAAAAAAAGAGTACCTATTAGGTGAAGCCAACATTTCCTATCTGGCTATTCTGTAAAAAAATGCCGAAACTAATTCATAGATAAAACTCTTTTTAGAGTCCAGTGATAGCTAGATAGTTGACTTGGAATTTTTTTTTTTTGTTTATTTATTCACAATATAGTTTTACATTATTAACTTACATCAATAATCGCCAAACTGTAAGACAGTTTGTTGGCGATAGTGTCGCTCTTATGTTTTACAATATTGTTAATTATTACTACTGTTAATATTATAGGTACATAAAAGATATCTTTAATTAATTTATTTTTATATTTAAGACAATACAATTAGAATGATGTGTTTCTGTAACATTATAAATAAATAAGTTTAGATGGCTTCTTAGCAACAATGGTCTTACATCTATAATTTTTCATAAAATTAATATGCTGTGGGAACTGTTCAAGTAGATACCTATTACTTAATTTCAACGTATTAAATTAGTTTTTTGTGTCATTCTTTGGGTAAAAACATTTCGCAAACGAGATTCTTATAGATAGGTAGTCAATGAAATAGATAAATGCATCGAGTTATCATTTAAATTGTAATTTCAATACACAACTGCACTTACATAACATTTATCAATTAGGTACGATATAGCGATCTTTCCCGGCTTCGCATGTGTGCAATGCGGATACTACATTTCTCTACTATTTAATGGATGTTATTATACCTACACATAAACTTTTTATCTTCGATCACTTTATCTACTAAAAAAACCGTAACAAAATAAGTCAAATCAAAATAAAATAAAAAATCATTTATTCCAATTAGAGGCAATTTTGAACGTCAAACAAAATTTTGAAGATATAGTGTCAGTCTGTCGGTCAGTCCTCTTAGTGAAGCTATTTGCTCGTTCCAAAATGTAGATTCCGATGGAGAAAAAAGAGCAAGAAACTCTATGGTTACTCTTTTTAAATCAGTTTCACATACTCTTTTTAAATCAGGTTCAATTATGTGACAACAGGCTAACACTAATATTTATTCAAATCCGTTGCATAAATACGAATATAGGGACAGAGAAAACGACTTTGTTTTATACTATGTGGTGAGACTAGAAGTTTTCTTCGCAGCACTATCCTAATATGGAACTAAGTTTAAAAATCCTACGTTAAAATTAAATCGCAGTAAATTCTTGATGACACTAATTATTGCTATTTTTAAATCGATATACAGTTCAGTGGGACTACAAGGAGTACTAATCTCTACTACTCTTACTACCTGTTATATTTGATACTACTATGTAGGTACATAATTTAAGGTACCACATATTGTGTACCTAGTTTATTTTTTATAACATGTAGGTAGGTATGTACCGACGTATGTAGTTCGATATAAGGTGCTAACGACGAAATTGTTTTTATTATTTAGTTATTATAACTTATGTAGTTACTTCCATTATTCGGCTTTTATTGGTCAAAGCTTTATGGTCATGTCACTCAAAATTTTATACAACTAAATAGAAAAATTCGAGCCCGTTCCAAAGATTTATGCGTTCAAACACTCTTGAACCATATATCTAATATTAATGTTAATACAAAATTCTTTCTCTTGAAGTAGTTTAAAAGCAATAATTTATGTCAAGTTTTATTAAATCATTTCCAGAGTATCCATGATTTTTTACTTTGTTGCCTTGCAGGTATAAAAACTCACGCGTTTATCTTGTTTCTGTTCTGTCACCAATTCTAAAACTACGCACCTAAAACTTATAAAGCCCCAAATACGATTTTATTCGCCGCGAATTCTCCTTTATGTCTTCTAACGATTGAAAACGGGTGCCACGAAGGGGTAATTTGAGTGTGGGAAAAAGAAAGAAGTCGGCTGGAGCCATATCTGGTGAATATGGTTGCTGCTCGATGGTGTTTGTTGAGTGTTTGGACAAAAAATCGTTTACAATGATGGCCTTGTGCGAAGGCGCATTATCGTGATGCAAAATCCAAGAATTTTCTTTCCACATTTCTGGCCGTTTTCGTCGAATTTGTTCTCTTAAACGCCGCATAACACTCAAATAATATTCTTTATTTACCGTTTGACCTTCGGGCAAGAATTCTGAGTGCACAACACCGCGATAGTCAAAGAAAACAGTCAACATGACTTTGACTTTTGATCGACTTTGACGTGGTTTTTTCGGTTTTGGTTCAGTTGGAAGGCGCCATTCCGTAGCTTGTTGACTAGTTTGCATGTCAAACTCGTAAACCCACGTCTCGTCACCAGTAACAATGCGTTTCATGAATGTTGGGTCGGTATTGACTCGTTCTAACATGTCCTCAGCGACTTTCATGCGATTTAGTTTTTGAAGAAAATTCAGGTCTTTTGGGACTAGCCGAGCGGCAACACGTTTCATACCCAAATTATTTGTTAAAATGGTACGGATCGACTCGTGAGATACAGAAAGTTCGGCGGCCATCTCTCTCAAACTTGAATGAGGATTTTCAGTCACTATTTCCTTCACTTTTGCGATGTTAACTTCAGTTGCAGACGTTGATGGCCTACCAGAACGAGGCAAATCTTCCATCACATCTCGACCGCTTTTGAACGCTTTGTACCACTCATAAGCACGTGTTTTTGATAAAGTCGATCACCGTAAGCCTTCTGTAACATTTTGAGTGCCTCCGAACACGAAATTTCGCTGGCGATGCAAAATTTAAGACAAACTCTTTGTTTGATGCTTTTGTCCATTATGAAATTCGCAATACACACTAGATATTATAAAACTAAAAACAGCACTGTTTTTAATATAAATAACAGATGCAACTGAAATTCCGCGCCAAAATGGAAAACAGTTATGCCAATCTAACAACAACAAAAAAAATTAAAATTCGAATTTGGAACCATAAAAAAAACATTCATTCCCGATACTTTGTTGACTGAATGTATATTGATTTGCTGACACATAATGACTAGTCAGATTCTTGTTAACCTTGACTTGTCAACTTGACTGTTGTATGTTTTAGGAATTAACGTTCCCATGGCAATAAAAAATACAATGTACAATTATGTGATTACGTATGTTTATATTTAGTTAGAAATATCTTTAAATAGGTATAAGATAAATGATATCGGTCAAACAGCAAATTGGTCAAGCACCACTGCAGTGTTGTTGGATTATTTCAAAACTTGTAGGTACTTCATATTTAGACCTAAACTGTGATTTGTGGATTTATTGAAAGGTATAGATTATTGAATGCTTCAGAATAGACAGTTAATATTTAAAATTTGACAAGTTTTAAAAACAATTGAGTTTGAACTTTCCCGCTTATCAATATTATTTCTACAATGAAGTATACATAATTATAATAATATGTAGACAATACTAGGCGGTATACTGCTTTTAAAATATGTAGGTATTATAATCTTAATATATAGATAGAATGAAATGCTGTTCCTTAGTCTCAGTAAATATTAAGAACTACTGGTTAGGCTAAGAATGGTCTTGAATTGTTCGAGCAAGGTCAGCTTGTCTATACTAATAAAAGAGGTAAAATGTGTAACTTTATATATATATAACTTTGTATATGTATAACGTTGGACAAACTGGTCGCATTTCTAAATTTCACTGATATATAGCTACAATGTTAATTAGTAAAACAGTGGGTGAAACAGCGTAGCAGTATCTAGTATAAAATAATACAATAGATACTATCACACCCCATCCCTAAAACCTTATACATGTCAAATTTTGGCGGGCTTTGTCAACTGTCCTTGATTCTGACATTTTTTTGTTGATGTCAATATTGTTTCAAATTATTGTCGATTCAATCTGACAGCCGGTATAACGCAGTGTATTTCTCGTTTTTTATAATATTCCAATTGGATTTAAGTAATAAAAACGATTAATATGGCTTCTAAAATGGTGAAAGTTAAATTCAACAACGGCCTTGAGATTCCCATCCTTGGAATTGGAACTTGGAAGGTAGGTAATTAACAAATTACTTACAATGTCAAATTGTAACTGTGTACAAAAAACATTTAAGTTAATTTGTATAATAAGCTTTATAAATGGCTATTAAAGCTTTCATAATGTTATGTTCCACGTTTATTGGTATAGAAAAACAATGTTTATTTGCTGTCTTCTGATTTGCGCATAAAATATTTCGGTGTTTTTTCGTAACTGTGGCATTCCCTATCTTTGCACACTGTACCTTGTACCATGGACACCCGCAACACTAAAGGAATTACGAGTGCGTTACCGGCTATTTGGGATAAAAGTTTTTAAGGATAAGGAAGAGATAGGGGACGGTAGGGATTGGGCTTCCGGTAACCTCATTCATACGGCGAAATTTGCTGTGGTTGTTTCACGCTGGTTTTCTGTGAGGCCGTGGTATCACTCCGATCGAGCCGACCCATTCGTGCCGAAGCTTGGCTCTCCCATACTTGCACAATGCAGAGATCAAGTAAAAACATTAAACAAATGATGGGATCAATTTCTCATAATTAAATTTTAATTCCTATATCATCTCGAACATTGCGCTTACATATGCATACTAGACAACAGTCCTCAAGAAACAATGGCCTATTCTATACCACAGCCTACCTGTATATCGGCGTGAATTAACACTTGTGCTATATTTAGCTATGATACATAAGTTTTAAGAGGTCCAATTTCATGTTCTTTTACTTTATTTTGATAAACAATTTATTTTTTATCAGATAACTCAATATTTTATGACAACTTAATATAACTAGCTTATAGTATGTCTATCATGTGTTTTATTTATCAATGTTTTTTTTATCATTTGGAAAACCACTCGCTGCTTGTCCCCATTAGATTATAGCATAATGTTTTATAGCCTATAGCACTCGGGAACATTGTAGCTATCAAAGAATTTTGGGAATCCGACCAGTGGTTCCTAAGATTACCCCCTACATACAAACTTACAGACTTACAACTTTTACCTCTTTATTTATAATTAATATTAGTATAGATAACATCCATTAAATAAGCAGATTAGGTCGCGGAAAGATATATGTTAGTGTGTAATATTATAATACTAGCGACTTGCCCCGGCTTCATATGGGTGTAATGCTGTTACTTAATTTCTTCACCATTTAATGGATGTTATTAAGTATAAAAACTTCATAAAAGTTGTGAGTGATGGTGGTTAAAAAAAGTAATTTAATTTGCTGTCTCTATATACCGTGATATGATACTGTGGCCTCAGTCTAGGGTAAAAGAAGGAACGGGGGGTTTTAGTCAGTAAGATTCTGACACTCTCTCCTCACCCTGGGTGACAAAAGTAATTTGTTGATATTCTCTTCAAAAAAAGAAAAAAATTGGTCGAACATGTATTTGACGCTACCCTCACTATATTTTATAACTACCTTGTATGTAACATATTTTATCATAATACAACAAATAAGTACTTATAACTAGTATCTTATCAGAAGTTTAAGCTCTTCAAAAAGTAGTTCATACGTGTATATTATGACTTGTATGATGAGTAAAAACTGGTTTTAACTGCAAATGTGAATGTTACAATACGCCTTTGTGCTCTTTTTCTTTTGTTTGAGTACCGACCGCAGTGATACCACGGCCTCACAGGAAACCGGCGTTAAACAACACTTGCAGCTCTCGCCAAACTTTGTGACCGCCCTGAATATAGTCGCGAGTCCGAACTTGCGCATGGTACAGTCGAGTTGGCAATACGTAATCAACCAATATTAGTATACAGGGTGTCCGGTAAAGAATGGATAACCTTAAAATGCCTTTTAGTATATCCTTTGGCCATTCAGAAAAAACAACGAAAAGGAAAGTATCATAGGTAGTACCTAAATTATTATGTCTTGAAGTAAAAGAACTGGAGCTAGAGGTAATACAAAATGATCCTTTAACATTTACGTTCATTACATTACTGCATAACCACGATGATTAAAAATTGCTTTAAAAATAAATTTTGCACGATTTGTCTATAATAAATTAATATGCAAGTTTTTTATAAAATATTCTTTTTTTCGGTTTTTTTTGTTAGTATATTTTTTGTAATGGCCATAAGATATACTTAAAGGTATTGCAAGTTTATACATTCTTTACCGAACACCCTGTATACGTAATCAACCAGTATTAAAAATGTTAGAAAACGAAAATTGGTTGATTACGTATTTTTATTATAACTTTCGTGAGACATTCTAAATTATTTATTATGTTTTCGGCTTACTCACGTAATAATTTGAGGAGATACTCGACTAGTTTCAAGCCATGCTAGAGGCCCATATTCATGAGCAGCATTCCGCGACACGCGACTCGGCGACCGTCGCGCTGCTACTGGCTACTCGAGTCTGCGCGCCCAACGCGCCCTCTGCCGTGATTCACGCGCACTTTCTTCTAGCCGTGGTGTTGGCAGCGACGGCGCGCGCGACACTGTTGGCACGCTAGACTCGCCCGCCTGCAGCTGCGTTGGTGTTGGGTTCGAATCCCGGGTCGCCGAGTCGCGTGTCGCGGAATGCTGCTCATGAATATGGGCCTCTAGCATGGCTTGATTGCGTATTGCCTACTCGACTGTACCATGCGCAAGTTCGGACTCCCGACTATATTCAGGGCGGTCACAAAGTTTAGCGCCGGCTGTACGTTGTGTTTCGCCGTGTGAGTGAGGTTAATCAATCCTCGATCCTTAATCCTCAAATGCCCTATCCTTAAATCCCTAATAACCCACAAGAAGCTTGAAACGCACTTGTAGTAACTCCTTTGGTATTACGAGTGTCCATGGGCGGCGCTGATTGCTTACCATCAGGTAATCCGCCTGCTCGTTTACCGACCTATGACATAAATAAGCGATTTCTGTCTAATTCTTGCTATAGGATCACATATTCCATAAAAATGAATTTAAAAATTTAAATTTGTTTTTTTGTTCACAGTCGAAGCCGGGCGAAGTTACTGAGGCTGTGAAAACGGCCATAGACGTTGGCTACAGACACATAGACTGCGCCTTTGTCTATGGCAATGAAAAGGAGGTTGGAGCTGCCATCTCTGCTAAAATCGCTGATGGTACTGTTAAGAGGTAAGGTCATAACTTATGGCATTCGTCACTGTTTTAGCAGCGGTAAGACCCTTCTTTGAGGAGTGGCTTGAGAGCCGCCACGGCTTCCTCACCTTCCGCCTGACGCAGATGCTTACCCGGCACGGCAGCTTCGGTAGGGTCCTCTTTCGGATCCGGAGGAAACGCCCGAGTGTCGTCATCGTGAGGACCACTCAGAGGAAGTGATTGGCGGCAGCGACCTCTCGCGGCCGGGCTTAGAGGCTATGATGCGGAGCGAGAGGAACTGAATAGCTCTTTCTGCGAAGCAGTGATGCTCGCAAAGATGGCGCGTGAGGGAACTATCGAGCGTACGGCGCGAAGCGTTCCGCGCGCGCCTCAAAGAGCCAATAGACCACCACAGACGGGGCCCTATAGGGCTGATGTTCAGCCGGGGTTGCGGGGTAAGCGCAATGAGGCACCGCGACCTCGGCCCAGAGAAGGAGAAGGAACAGAGGGGTTTTAATCAGTAAGAGTCTGTCATTCCATCACGCCATACCCTAAGCATAAGAAGTCATTTGATGAAACAATGAAACAATGAATTTATTTTTGCAAATAGGCCATAAAACGTCACTTTTACGCGTCAATTTATATGTGAAAAACTAGATGAAGCCGGCATTTCCTATCTGACTACTCTGAGAAGAAATGCCGAAACAAACTCAGAGATCAGTCTCTTTTCAAGTCCAGACAATGTAAAAATAACATAATGTGAGAGAACCGTGCAAGTTCATTCTGTAGTGGTCTTTTGAGGAAAGAACCACACCAGTTTAAGTGGACCCGTTCTGAAGACAGGCACGCAAGTGTAGCTAGTACCAACCAGTATAGCTAGTGCTGCTGAGTTGTCCGACGAACAATACCGATCAATACCGAATGACTTTTCCTACTCAAAAAAGTATAGTCACTTTTAATTGCAGCTGCATGGTTGGCGCGGTGGCTGGGCAACTGGCTGCCGCGCAATCCGTCGCGGGTTGATTCCCGCACGGATCAACTCCTTGTGTGATCCACAGATTGTTGTTCCTTGTCTGGGTGTGATGTGTCGGTTGTGAGGATAATGTAGAGCTGGAGAAGGAACTGGTAGCTTTTAGTCAGTAAGAGTCTGACACTACCTCTCGCGTCATCCAGGGCTGTAAAAGTCATCAAATTGTTCCTACCCGTTAAAATAAACCACTACCAACAGAATTTTCCTAGAGCCCCGACATTCGATTTTTAATCAAGACGCGCTTTTCGTATGTTGGATCAAATTCTCCTTATAGTAGGGGAGCCCATGAAGGAATTTCGGTAGTTACTCGAGCGCGTCAGATTAACATATGGGGAATATTTAGTAACCTATTGAATATACCCATTACATACTTGGCCATAGTCGTGGTATGCAAACCTGGCAAGTACCAATGTGACTTTTTCCGAGTTATATGTACTTTCTATGATTATTTAGACACCACTGACATACGGTAAAGGAAAACATCGTAAGGAAACCTGGACTTATAGTTTCTAATTGTAAGATTGAAATCGCCAATCCGCCTTGAGCAAGCGTGGTGATTAGTGCTCAAACCTTCTCCGTGTGAGAAGAGGCCTTTGCTCAGCAGTGGGCACTTATAGGCTGTTGATGATGATGATGATGATTACATACTTAATGTAAACAGAGGCGGGGGGGGGGGGGGATAACAATATAAAAAAATAACAAAATTCAGTCGTTTTCGTCAGATTAGGTGGGAAAAGGTAGGTGTCATGTCACAGAAAAGGCGTTTAAAAAATCTGCCGATTTCAGCAGCAATAGAGTTTTGAACGGGTCCCATTCATATCCCCTTAATTACCCAACCCCACCACGCAATTCGGCAGATTAAAATATTTTCACTGTCAGAAATACATGGAGAATATACATTATTAATATCTGTCACGCTCGTGCACTAAAACAAAAGTTACATCTCACAATTTTGGAAAATTATCATTCTCCCCTTCCCCTACCGGCGGAATGAAATGTCATTGAGACATTTTTTCTTTCTATCACCAAATCTTCAGAATCCAGTTACTACCTACGACGCTTGAGTAACTACAAATTTAGCATCCTGGGCTCCCCGACTATTAATGTTAATATTTAATTGCATCAGTATTCTAATTAATCACCTCCCAACAATACCAAACAATATTATGATTAACGGTGGAGTTTCAAATCAAATCAAATCATTTATTTGTTAACATAGGTTAATAAAATACAGATATTATAATGTTGTTGACACAGAGCGCTATGTTGTACCAGGAGGCGTACAAATTTAATATGGTGTGATAATATACATAATTGTGGAATAAAAAAATATAATTACTAAAATTTGAAAATCTTGTACAATTATTACACATTACAATTATTACATTACACAAAACAAATTACATGTCAGTTATTAATTACTCCAGATAAGTCAGAAAAATCAAAATAAATTCCATTTTAGAAAGAAATATGATAACATTAGAGTCTTGTTTAACAAAAAACAAAAATAGAATGTCAGTAAATTTCATAACAAGGAAGCTGCGTCCATACCCTCAACATTACACATTTCTTTCTCGTTCTTCTCCATTCGAATCTACAATTTGGAACGAGCACCTAGCTTCACTGACGAACAGAATGACAAACTACTATTCTATTTTGACGTTTCAAAAGTACCTATTTATGGTTTAGTTGGAATAAATGATTTTGACTCGAGAAAAAAAGTAAGTTATAGGTAGTTCACTGTTGAAAATTTGAAATGCTTCTTGAACGACAGTTGTATTATAAAGAGAATTTTTGACATTGGATCTGGTCTCTTCCAGAGAGGATCTGTTCGTCACCTCCAAGCTATGGAACACCTTCCATCGACCGGATCTCGTGAAGGGTGCACTCCTCAAAAGCCTGGAGAATCTCAACCTCAAATATTTGGACCTCTATCTGATACACTGGCCTCAAGCCTACAAGGTATGTCTTTTTTTATTATTTTATGTGATATCTTGGCAAACGAGGCGACGGATTACCTGATGGTAAGCAATCGGCGCCTTCCAAAGACACTCGCAATCACAAGAGGAGTTAAGTTGAAGGAGTGCGTTGGTGCCTTTTGGGGACAAGGGTTTCGGACAATTTGGGATGGGGGAGAGGAAGAATTGGGCCTCTGGTTACCTCACTCACACGATGAAACTACGCCGTGATTGTTTCGCATTGGTTTTCTGTGAGGCCATGCTTCGACACGAATAGGTCGGCTCGACCGGAGTGATACCATGGCCTCCGCCAGTGTTTCGCCGTTTGAATGAGGTCTCCGTTGGCCCTATCCTAACCCTCTCCTTATCCAAAAATCTCCAAAACCTTAATCTCAAAAAGTCGGCAACTCGTCGTAACCCCTGCATTGTTCCATGGGCAGCGCTGATTGCTTACCATCAGGTAATCCGCCCACTCGTTTGCCGACCTTAAGACCTTATAACCTTGTAGAAAAAAACTAAAAATTATTTATTTTCTCAACAGGAAGATGGCGAGTTGTTCCCTAAAACTGCTAATGATAGCATAGCGTTTTCTGATGTGGATTATGTGGATACATGGAAGGCCCTAGAACCTCTGGTCGGAGAAGGCCTTGTGAAGAGTATAGGAGTTTCAAATTTCAATTCCAAGCAAATTGCAAGACTTTTGGAGCATGCCAGCATCGTGCCTGTTACCAACCAGGTGAGTCGAAGGCCTAATTCATCATCATCATCAGCCTATAAGTGCCCACTGCTGAGCAAAGGCCTCTTCTCACACAGAGAAGATTTGTCACTCCCGTATTGGCCCGGACGTCAAGGCGCCCGCATCTTGTACGTAAACGTTCGGGTTCGAAACCTGGCAAAGGACCAATGTGACTTTTTGCGAGTTATATGTACTTTCTATGATTATTTAAACGCCACTGACATACGGTGAAGGTAAACATCGTGAGGAAACCTGGACTTATAATTTCTAATCATAAGTTTGAAATTGCCAATCGCTTTGAGCAAGCATTGTGCAAGTTAATGCTCAAAGCTTTGACTGCACGGTTGGCGCGGTGGCTGGGCAACTGGCTGCCGTGCGACGTGTCGCGAGTTCGATTCCCGCACGGAACAACACTTTGTGTGATCCACAAATTGTTGTTTCGGGTCTGGGTGTCATGTGTTTGTGAATTTGTATGTTTGTAAACGCACCCACGACTCAGGAAAAAATCCTAGTGTGAGACAACGTATACTTTTTTTTTAAAAAAAAAGCTTTTCTTTGTGAGAGTAGGTCTTAAAAATGATTAATAACTCACTGCCTTATAAAAGAACCGATCAAAATCCGTTGCGTAGTTTTAAAGATTTAAGCCTACATAGGGATATAGGGACAGAGAAAGCGACTTTGTTTTATACTATGTAGCGATATTATTTCCTCAGATCGAATGCCACCCATACTTGAATCAGAGACGTCTAAAAGATTTCTGCGAGGCGCGCAATATTAAAATCACTGCGTACTCTCCCCTGGGGTCTCCGGACAGACCCTGGGCCAAGCCAGACGACCCTAGCCTTTTGGAAGACCCCAAGCTTAAGGCTATCGCTGATAGACTAGGAAAAACTGTTGCACAAGTCTTGATTCGGTGAGTTTTGTTCTTTATTATGTATTTTTATGGCATAGGTCGGCGACCAAGCAGACGGATTACCTGATGGTAAGCAATCAGCGCCGCCCATAGACACCCGCAACGGAGGAGTTACGAGTGCGTTGCAGACCTTTTAGGGAATAGGGATTTGGAGATTTAGGGATTAAGGAGGGATTGGGGGAGGGGAAGGATTGGGCCTTCGGTAACCTCACTCACACGGCGAAATAGAACGCTGTAATTGTTTCATGTGTATTTATTATTGTTGTATTATTATTATTTTTTGCTTTTTATTGTACATTTCTTTGCTTTTTTTTCTTGATTGTTCATGCCAAATAAATTATAAATTATTTTTCTTTCTTTCTTTCTATTTTTTTCCTATGATATAGGTCGGCAAACTAGCCGATGGATTATCTGATGGTAAGCAATGGGCGACGCCCATGGACACTTATTACTAAAGGAGTTAAGTCGGCATCCGAGGTAATTCATATGATATTATAGTTGTTTAAAATACGCGCATCAGTATATAAGCCTATATAAACCCAGGAACATTGCAGCTACCTATCAGTGAAAGAATTTTAGCAATCCAATGAAACAATGAAACAATGAATTTATTTTTGCAAATAGGCCTTAAAACGGCACTTTTACACGTCAAATTATATGTGAAAAACTAGATGAAGCCGGCATTTCCTATCTGACTACTCTGAGAAGAAATGCCGAAACAAACTCAGAGGTCAGTCTCTTTTCAAGTCCAGACAATATAAAATAACATAATGTGAGAGAACCGTGCAAGTTCATTCTGTAGTGGTCTTTTGAGGAAAGAACCACACCAGTTTAAGTGGACCCGTTCTGAAGACAGGCACGCAAGTGTCAGTTTGCAACCATATAGCTAGTGCTGTTGAGTTGTCCGACGAACAATACCGATCAAAAGAACATTTGGGTGGGTCGCGCAAGTACTCAAACTGTCAGAACGCAGATGACTGGTGATAAAAAAGCACGACAAGTCTCACACGGTCCTTACACTAACAATAATATAAAATAATAAAAATGTCAACAAATAAATAAAAAAAAAAATGTCAAATAAAAAATAAAAATGTCACACTATGTGATCATGTCATTGTATAAAAAAATAAAATAAACGTAATGTCAAATTGTATATAAAAGTGTAACTTATGTTACAAACATGTCAACATGACCTGTGCAGACATTACAGCGGCTCATTCCCAAGCCTGACTATCCTCTAAGTAGTCTTTTATTTTATAAAATGCTTTACAGCAAAGTTTAGCCTTTATTACACTTTTAAATTTATTGAGGCTCAAATTTTGAATATCGCTAGGAATTTTATTGTAAAAGCGTATACATTGACACCTAAACGAACTACTTATTTTCTGAAGCCTGGAGGCAGGCACAACATATTTGTTTTTCCCCCTCGTGTTGATATTATGTATATCACTATATTTCTTAAGTAAGCTTTTGTTTTTATGAGCGTGAATTACATTTTCATAAATATATTGAGAGGCAACTGTCATTATTTTAGATTCCTTAAATAATTCTCTGAGCGAATGCCTCGGACTAAGATTATAGATTGATCGAATAGCCCTTTTCTGCAGAACAAAATCCGACCAGCGGTTCCAAAGATTACCCCCTACATACAAACTTACAAATTTTGCCTCTTTATTTTTTATGTGTTTTAACGGCAAACGATCAGACGGATTACCTGATGGTAAGCAATCAGTGTCACCCATGGACATCCGCAACAACGGTAGTGTTAACTAAGAGTGCGTTGCTGACCTTTTGGGGATTTCGAGTTTTTGGGATAGGGGCAGGTGAAGGCTTGAGCCTTCGTTAACCTCACCCACACGGCTACACACAACGCTGTGGTTGTTTCACGCCGGTTTTCTGTGAGGCCTTGGTATCGTTCCGGTCGAGCCGACCCATTCGTGCCGAAGCTTGGCTCTCCCACACTTGATTATCCCACATACATAACAGTTATAGATAAAGAAAAATTAATAACTTGTTTGTTCTTTCCTTTCACGGGACCACAGGGTCCCGGACCTTTGGAAGGCGTACGAGGAGCCGAAGCCAACTCGCAGAGGCCCGTTGAACAGTTTTGATCTAAATGTGATGGGACATCAGCCGGCAATTATCCCTGTTTGCACTATGAAAGTGCACCCAAGGACAATCACCGGTTGATGCAGGACTATTGTGAAATGTGGTAAAAATTGACAGGGTTATGAATATGGGTTGCTATGGACTGGTGGATATGTTAACTATAGAAATACTATGGCCCCTGCCCCTGACCAATATTGATACATACTGATCAACAAGCAGGGGGTGACTGGCAAACTGGGTCGGCTCGACCGGAGTGATACCACGGCCTCACAGAAAACCGGCGTGAAACAACCACAATGATGTGTTTCGCCGTGTGAGTGAGGTTACCGGAGGCCCAATCCTTCCCCTTCCCGGACCCTTCCCCAATCCCTAAATCTCCAAAACCCTAATCCCTAAAAGGTCGGCAACGCACTCGTAACTCCTCCGTTACGGATGTCCATGGGCGGCGTTGATTGCTTACCATCAGGTAATCCGTCTGCTCGTTTGCCGACATATAAAAAAAAACTCAATGGGCCCCCAGAAACGGCCGCTAGCATGTAGCGACAAGGGGGCAACATACGTTGAGCTGCTTGGGGAAGGAGAGGCATCCCACGGCTATCACAGCAATCCCGGAAGTACTTAATTACAAATTAATAATAATTATTATTTATTTTCAGTTACCAAATCGACCGTAACAATATTGTTATTCCAAAATCGGTGACAGCGTCCCGCATCGCGAGCAACTTCGACGTTTTCGACTTCAAACTGTCACAAGAGGACATGTCGTTGATCGACTCCTTCGATTGCAATGGACGTATGGTGCCTATGACTGCGTAAGTACTTAATATCATAATTTATTATCACTATCATGACCGTTATTATAATCAATATGATTATCTGTATCATCATTGTAATCGTCATCATCATCAGCTTATAAGTGCCCACTGCTGAGCAAAGGCCTCTTCTCATACAGAGAAGGTTAGAGCATTAATCACCACGCTTGCTCAATGCTGGTTGGCGATTTCAAACTTACAATTAGAAATTATATATAAGTCCAGGTTTCCTCACGATGTTTACCTTCACCGTATGTCAGTGGTGTCTAAATAATCATAGAAAGTACATATAACTAGCCATAGAACCTACACCCTCATGCATGAGAAGCGAGCGCTTTAACCTCCGGCCCACCACGACAACAACGCTTAATAAATATCATCGTCATCATGTTCATAAATATCCTTGTTATCGTCATCATTATCATCATATTAATCACTATCATTACCGTCATCATTATTTTCAACAATATTATCATCGTTTTCAAAGTCAAAATCATTCAGGTTGTCAGCCTGTTCGCCAGTGAAGCTAGGTGCTCGTTCCATATGGTAGATACGAATCATTATCATCATCATAATCATTTCCATCATCATTAATATCATATTTAATATAATTGTCACCATCATCACCACTGCTGGACATACAACAAAGTGTATTTGACATTGTATGTTTGTAAACGCACCCACGACACAGGAAAAAATCCTAATATGTGGCTGGGTATAAAAAAAAGATCTATAAGAAATTTGGCACAGAGATAGATTAAAGTCTCAAATAACACATAGCCTATGTTAAGGTAGGGTTAAGTTGCAGAAATAAGTTTTTAATAAGTATTTTTTTTATTTTACAGATCATTGGGCCACAAGTATCATCCTTTTGAGAAAGAAGAATTTTAAATATGTATTAAATAAGTAATATTTGTTAAGAATTAAAATGTTTGTCAAAACATATATTTGTCAATCGCACTTGAGTTTGTAAAACAAATGCTTATCTATATATGAATGTATAAACATATTATTATGTAATAAATAAAATTGTTTTAACACTTTTTTGAGTTTTTTTTTTCTTGTCTTAATGATGTAGCGTGGTTAACAAGCAGACGGATTACCTGATGGTAAGCAGTCAGCGCCGCCCACGGACACTCTTAATACCAGAGAAGTTATCTGGCTATTGGTGGTAAGGTTATTGAGGTTTTTTTTGTGTAATAGGAGGCGAGGAAACGAGCAGACGGATTACCTGATGGTAAGCAATCAGCGACGCCCATAGACACTCTTAATACCAGGGAAGTTATCTGGCTATTGGTGGTAAGGTTATTGAGGTTTTTTATGTAAAAGGTCGGCAAACGAGCAGACGGATCACCTGATGGTAAGCGATCAGCGCCGCCTATGGACACCTGCAGCACCAGAGGAGTTACAGGCGCGTTGCCGGCCTTTTAAGAAGGATTACGCTCGTTTCTTGAAGGTCGTATCGGTTCGGGAATACCGCCGCCGGAAGATCATTCCAAAGTTTTGCTGTGCGAGGCAGAAAGTCACGCGTGAATCGCACAGTTGTTGACTGCCAACCATCTATGTGATGGGGATGATACCTAATGTTTTCGCGAAAAGATGCGGTAGGTATCAAACCGAACAATTCCTCAGAATATTCCCTGTAGTATACCTAACTGTAGAGGCCAGCCGGGATTGCGGGGTAAGCGCAATGAGTCACCGCGACCTCGGCCCAGAGCAGGAGAAGAAACAGGGGGGTTTTTAGTCAGTACCTAAGAGTCTGACACTCCCTCCGCCCTAGACTATATCTCTACGCAGTGCCAAAGAGTCCAGCCAGTCCGAGATAACAGGTAGTAGGGGAGCCCAGGATGCTAAATTTGTAGTTACTCAAGCGTCGTAGGGAGTAACTGGATTCTGAAGATTTGGTGATAGAAAGAAAAAATGTCTCAATGACATTGCATTTCTCCGGTGGGGGAAGGGGAGAATGATAGTTTTCCAAAATTGTGAGATGTAACTTTTGTTTTAGTGCACGAGCGTGACAGATATTAATAATGTATATTCTCCATGTATTTCTGACAGTGATAATATTTTAATCTGCCGAATTGCATGGTGGGGTTGGCTAACTAAGGGGATAGAAACGGGACCCGTTCAAAACTCTATTGCTGTTGTAAACGACAATGAATTAATCGGCAGATTTTTTAAACGCCTTTTCTTTGACATGATATCTTCCTTTTCCCTGACGAAAACGACTGAATGTAGTTATTTTCTTATATTATTCTATTATATCCTCTGTTTACATTAAGTACAGTACAGCTATATGAAGGTTATATTCAATAAGTAACTAAATATTCCACATATGTTAATCTCACGCGCTCGAGTAACTACCAAAATTCCTTCATGGGCTCCCTTACTAAGAGTTGGAGGGAACGGGATGATTGGGATTTTGGAAACATCACTGACATGACGAAAAAATGCTTTTGAGACTGGTAATGTCGCAGTGAACCGAAGGTTAAGGCGCCCGCTTCTCATGCATGAGGGTTCGAAATCTAACAAGTACCAATGTGTCTTATTCCAAGTTATATGAACCTACTTTCTATGATTATTTAGACACCACTGACATACGGCGAAGGAAAACATCGTGAGGAAACCTGGACTTGGGTATAATTTCTAAGTAATTATACTTAAGTTTGAAATCGCTAACCCGTCTTGAGTAAGCTAGTTGTGCTGATAAGTACTACTACATCTACTACTTCTCCGTGTGAGAAGAGGCTTTTGCGCAACAGTGGGCACTTATAGGCTGATGATGTACCTATGTATGAGGCAGTTGTATCTCTCCGGTCGAGCCTATAGCTGAAGCATAGCAAATCCACACTGCAAATAATATCTTCTGATTTATTTCATTTTAAGATCCAAGATAGTCATGTCCGTGGGACTCACCGGACTTCAGTGATCCGGTGTTTTCATGGTTGTATCTACTGTAGATCCTGGTGTACCGTAGGTAATTCATCCCGAAATTATCAAATCCCTGAGCTCCGCTATGCATTTCTTCTGATGCTTAGGCATCGAATGCTTGTTAAATAAATGATTTAGCGAAAGAGGAGTATAGATACGTAAGTATGTAAATATAAGTCAGTTACCTACATCCAATCTCTAACAACCTGTTACACCCTATCCCCAAATGCCCTCAACTATAGGCGGTTTTCACACTGCCCCGCATCTTGCTGCATATTGCGTGTCGAAGCACTTACGCGCGTTCCTGCGGGAGTGCAGATCTGCATCATTGTGCGGGTTTGTCGCGCAATCACGTGTGTAGGTGCATTTTGTAGATTCACGCACGGCGGCTCTCATTTATTCGCCGTTCTCTGTGGTGGTCGTGCAGTACTAAGCATCACGATAGTTTTGATAAAAATGCTTAATAGTGTGGAAGTCATTCAGGACGCTGCCAACACGCATCCACGCGCTACGCTGCATCATGCGGGGCAGTGTGAGAATCGCCTAACTATTTTGGTGCGATGGCTTACCATCAATTGAATACCACAGATAATCCGTCAAGACTATACCCCGATTTGTCCTATATAAAAAACATTTCTTGTTTTAAAAGCCAGGGTCGTCTAAAAACGGTCCCAAAAGAAAACAACAATTTTATAGACAAAAAAATAATTCATTTAAATAAAACGTTTCTTATGCATAACAAATTAATAAGCTTAAAATAATATTTTAGCAATCGATAAGTACATAAATAGGTACATCGCCTAATAAACAAAGTTTTATTGCAATATATATCTAAGTATATCTTGAATTTGTAGATTTTCTTGCTAGGGAAATCATTCTACACTATTTCGTATGGAGCTTATAATTAATAAGCATATATCTAGCAAGTACCAATGTGACATTTTCCGAGTTCAACAAACGTGCTGACGGATTACCTGATGGCAAGCATTCAGCGCCGCCCATGGACACCCGCAACGGAGGAGTTACGAGTGCGTTGCCGACCTTTTAGGGATTGGGGATTTGGAGATTTAGGGATTGGGGGTGGGGAAAGATTAGGCCACCGGTAAACTTACCCACACAGCGAAACACAACGATGTGGTTGTTTCACGCCGGTTTTATGTGAGGCCGTGGTATCGCTCTGGTCGAGCCGACCCATTCGTGCCGAAGCATGGCTCTACCACACTCGCAAACTTTCGCTTTTATAATATAACTAAGGTAGACCTGATAGTTAGCAATCGGCAGACATCCACAACTCAAGGGAAATTACAACTTCGTTACCCGTATTTCGATATAAACAAAAAAAAACAACAATATTATTAAAAAATTTATATTAAATGCAAAACAATTAACATTTAGTTGATTATAAATGTTAGCTTTTTAATATTATGTATATTAAGAGCTGATTTTTCAATGGTTAGATAAAAGTTACCTGGGGAATAATTATGATGCTGTCGCGTCAGAATGTTTGTATAAGACAGTGACAGCAACAATTTTATTCCTTAAGATAACATTTATCTGACTATTGAAAAATCAGCCCTTAGTCATTTACATAAAGTTGGATATTCATATACAGTTTTAGATCCACTTTTCACCAATCATATGGTGACCCTGAGGTTAAGGCGTCCGCTTCTCATGCATGAGAAAACCTGGCAAGTACCAATGTGACGTTTTCCGAGTTATATGTACTTTCTATGATTATTTAGACACCACTGACATAAGGTGAAGGTAAACATCGTGAGGTAACCTGGACTTATAGTTTCTAATTGTAAGTTTGAAATCGCCTATCCTAGAGCAAGCGTGGTGGTTAATGCTCAAACCTTCTCCGTATGAGAAGAGGCCTTTGCTCAGCAGTGGGCACTTATAGGCTGATGATGATGATGAAATGCGTAGCTAACATCATAAAAACATCTCAAGTGTTGAGTCCCTATTGAACTGCATTATAAAAGCTTGTTTTTAAATTAAATGATATTTATAGCGAGAATTAATTAAATAAATATATTCTATATTTAATACCGTACTTAGAAATATTTAATGATTACTCAAAATAATTCTTTTTTCTTGGGTCTTCAAAAATAGGGGGAAATCATGGAATGACTTCTCCCTGGGTGGGGAGTGTCAGACTCTTACGGCCTTATAACAAAACAAGGTTTTCTTAGTCTAGGTCTAAAACATTGAGCCAGTTTTTACCGACTTCAAAAAAAGGAGGAGGTACTATGATCGGCTGATTGTTTTTTTTGTATGTTCACCGATTACTTATCCATTTATGAACCGATTTCCAAAATTCTTGTTTTGTTTGAAAGGTTATACTCCCGAGAGGGTCCCACTTTCATGTGGTCAGGATCTGATGATGGAATCCTAGGGAAACCGAGGGGAACTTTCCAAAATTGGAGTGGCGAGTAGGGCTTTTGCATGTTGTTTTAGCAGGCTTTTTACAACGCTACAACTTGCCGATGGTTTAACTCGACCTGATGATGGAGCCGGAAGACAGTCGAGGGATCTCCTTGATTATTTGGAGTGTTTACCTTGTGTTTGGGCTTAAATGATTCGTATTGGTGAGCACTTTGCACCAAGATCGGATGATGAGAACGAAGGACAGCTCAGGGAACTCCTGAACGGTTTAATCGATTATACAATGGTTATTAATATTATTTTCTATTTAACTAAATGAAAACATGTATAAATTTTAACAAAGAAAATATGTTTATGCTTTTTAGTTTACTTTTTTAAGTCTGATTATTTTTGTTAAAAATTATTTATTATATTTCAAATTGAAGGAAGGTGAGGATAGGATTCAAAATACAAAACCTGACTCAATGGTTTAAACCTAGACTACGGATAAATTTTGTTTTGTTATAAGGGTGCTTCTGACTAAAAATCCACCCGTTCCTTCTCCAGCTTACCGAAACAGTACCTCAGCTACTTATTAACTTAATCCAACTTTCTTTTTTTTAAGCAATTCTGATGTTAAGCAATCAGCGCTGCCCATGGACATCCGCAACAACGGAGGAGTTAGGAGTGCGTTGTCAACCTTTTAGGGATTAGAGATTTGGAGATTTTGGGATTGGAGAGAAGTGATTGGGCCACCGGTAACCTCACTCACAAGGCGAAACACAACGCTGTGGTTGTTTCACGCCAGTTTTCTGTGAGGCCGTGGTATCACTCCGGTCGAGCCAAAGCATGGCTCTCCTATACATGCATGACTCAATCCTTTTTTCTTTTTTTATGTGATAGACCGGCAAGCCTGATGGTAAGCAATCAACGCCGCCCATGGACATCCGCAACAACAGAAGAGTTACGAGTGCGTTACCAACCTTTTAGGGATTAGGGATAAGGGGATGATGAGGGACTCGGGGAAGGGAAGGTTTTCTTTTTGCACAAAATCCTTACTTAGGAACGGTTTAAGTAGAGACTACATATTTCTAAGTATGATAGTAAGAGATTTCACAAGTTCTCATCCAGTTTCTGAATGGTCATTGTGTAATATTAATATCTCAAGTACTTTTTTATGTAATAGATCGGCAAACGAGCAGTCGGATCACCTGATGGTAAGCGATCAGCGCCGTCCATGGACACCTGCAACACCAGAGGAGTCACAGGCGCGTTGCCGGCCTTTTAAGGAGTACGCACGTTTCTTGAAGGTTTGAAGGTCGTATCGGTTCGGGAATACCGCCGCCGGAGTAGTGTACAAAAATCCATCCTTCAGATAGTACCATCAGTAATTAAATAAACTTAAATAGAAATAGCAGCGAAATTTTTTTTTGTGTTACAAATCTGTTAACGTATATATTTTTTTATATGGTAACACTAGCTTTTGCGAGCGACTCCGTACGCGTGGAATAGTGACTTCCTGCAGATTTTTAGTATAAAAACTATCCTATGTCCTTTCTCGAGTTCCAAACTATGTCTGTACCAAATTTCACAGAAATCGGTTCAGTAGTTTAGGCGTAAAGAAAAGACAGACAGAGTTACTTTCGCATTTATAATATTAGTTTGGATTATCAGAGATGTTAGGGAGCTCCAAAACCGTATCTTGCTAATATTATAATTAATGCGAAACTTGCGATGGTTGGATGTTTGTTACTCAATAACGCCAAAACGGCTGGACGGACCTGGAAAAAATTGGCACAGACATAGGATACACTCCGGAATAGGACATAGGCTACTTTTTATCAACATACCACGCGGGCGAAGCTGCGGGCGGAAACAAATATCTTTACACAAAAGCCACTATTCCAGGCGAACGGAGTCGGGGGCAATAGCTATACTCAGAATTTTAATTCCATTCCAGATTTGACAATTTCAGTGTTGCAAAGTTATGACACGTACTAAATAGTGACGTTGCGAAATTATTCGATATGGAAATCGAATATTTCTGAACCGATTCCTCTCGTTTATATATTTACTCTCGTAAACTAAGTTTATCAGGAAATAAAATATTTCTGAATCGATAATTTAGTTTTGGCAATTAATTAACGATCTGAGACTTTTCTTTAGTAATTGTGTGTGAAATTAAAAAAAAATGTGATCATGAAGGAACGTGACAAATAAAACAGACATTTTATAAATTGTCGCCGTCATCGCTATCGCTATCGCTATTACTTTCAGTAACATTTATTATGAATTGTGTCTGTGATATTTATTGTCAATTAACATATCTGGCTTACTCATTTTTTCCTCTTCTTTGAAAACATGGGATACGCATTTAGACCATTCGGTAGCCGTAATTTTTTGAATGCCTTCCTGAAACTGATTCACTGGTTTTTTATCGATTTTTGTGTTCATCACTACACTGTTATATGTGGTATCATTATTTCACAAAATGACAGTAGGTCATATCAAATCAGGAATCGAATTAAAAAATTCTGAGTATAGTTACTATTTTTAAACTGGCTGTTTGAACGACTATTAGAACTGATGCGATTAAGACTGTGTGAAAGCTTAGAAAATACTATTTTAATATAATATAACTAAAATATATATTTAAATAAACTAGAAAGTCTTGCGGTGAACAGCTCTGTGGCCTTCTTCGTCGTATTCCCTTTTAGAGACCCACATTTTACGGAATGTGTCGAGCGAAGCTAGAATCGACCCCCCTATCCATGTCGAGTAGAGACGTTCTTGAGGTGCTGAGATCTGTTGACGAAAAAAAAAACATTTTAAAGAGTCAAAAATCAAGTCAAAATCATTTATTTCAATTAGACCCTTAAAGTCACTTTTGAACGCCAAACAAAATTTTAAAAATACAAAGTGTCAGTCTGTCGGTCAGTCCTCTCAGTGAAGCTATTTGCTCGTTCCAAAGTGTAGATTCCTATGGAGAAGAACGAGCAAGAAACTCCATGGTTACTCTTTTTAAATCAGTTTCACAAACAGATTCCGTTGTAAATTGTGAGATATAAAACCACCACCTTTTTTGTGAGGGAAAAATCATCGAATGTCCTCTCCCGCCCAGGTTAAGTCGTGAGAGAGTGTCAGACTCTTACAGACTAAAAACCCCCAGTTCCTTCTCCTACTCTGGACCGAGGTCGCGGTGCCTCATTGCGCTTACCCCGCAACCCCGGCTGAACATCAGTCCTATAGGGCCCCGTCTGTGGTGGTCTACTGGCTCTTTGAGGCGCGCGCGGAACGCTACGTGCCGTATTCCCCAAGTATTATCTACATACACCTATACCATAAAAAACGCTAATTCAGAATGACACTTAATGATAAAGCCACTGCAGCAAATATGAAGAAAAATAATGACCTTTTTTTAAACCTTTTCCACGTTCTAGAATTTTCTGATTTTCTCCTGTGTTGTGGGTGCGTTTACAAACATACAATGTCACACCCAGACTCACGGAACAACTATTTGTCGAGTTGTAACCGTAATAGAATCCGCGACATATTGAGCGACAGCCAAAAATGATGAAAAAAAAACATATAAATAAACAAAACTCACCCTAATCTTCATGTCTTTGGGCGCTAGCCTCCTGATCTCGGCGAGGAGGCGATCTCCGAAACCTCTGAAGAGGGTGCTACCTCCGCTTAGAACAATATTCTGGTATAAAACTTTACGTAAATCCATATCGGACTTCTGTATAGCAAACATCAGAACTTCGTGTAGACCTGAAAAAAATATATGAAAATTAAAAAAAAAAAACCGCTAAAAACACGCTTATGCACTGCACGAATGGGAAAAAAAAAAAAAAAAAACATCGGCATCGGTTCGTCTCGAAGGGAGTGATACCACGGCCTCACAGAAAACCGGCGTGAAACAAGCACAGCGTTGTGAGTGAGGTTACCGTAAGCCCAATCCAGCCCCCCCCCCCCCCCCCCCGTCTTTTCCTCAATCCTCAAATCTCCTAACCTTATATCCCCAATAACCCACAAGAGATCGGCAACTTGTAATAACTCCTTTGGTATTACGAGTGTCCATGGGCGGCGCTGATTGCTTACCATCAGGTAATCCGTCTGCTCGTTTGACGACCTACCACATAGAAAAAATATCTCAATTATGTTACCATAATTATTACATACGAATGGATCCACTCGACGGGAGTGATACCACGACCTCATAGAAAACCGGCGTGAAACAACCATAGCGTTTTCATTCTTTTTCCACTGGGTGAGTGAGATCACCACCCTTAATCCCCTTCAAATCCTCAAAAACCCTCCCTAACAACTCATAAAAGACCACCAACGCACTTATAACTCCTTTAGCGTTGCGGGTGTCCATGGGCGGCGCCGATTGCTTACCATCAGGTAATCCGTCTAACCTAACCTAAGCCTTTTTTTGAGGGTTGTAATTCGTGAAATTACTTTTCTTTTTTTCGGCTGTCTGTTTGTTCCCGCTAACCTTTAGAACTGCTGGACCGATTTTGAATGGAATCTTCTATGTAATAATAGGTACCTTTTTTTGAAAAGGGAAAATCGTCAAATACCTTTTTCCCGTCCAGGTACAGACGAGAGAGAGTGTCAGACTCTAACTGACTAAAAACCCCCCTGTTCCTTCTCCTGCTTTGGGCCGAGGTCGCGGTGCCTCATTGCGCTTACCCCGCAACCCCGGCTGAACATCAGCCCTATAGGGCCCCGTCTGTGGTGGTCTATTGGCTCTATGAGGGTCTTCTTAAACAGAAAAGACCTAGTGTAGCTAATAATGTTCTATGCTATCAATTACCAGCATACCTTCGCTCTCTTCGCCGATGAGATCAGGTCGGAAGAGAACTTCGGGGGCTCGGAAGCGAGCTGGACCAATCTATAAACAAAATTAATAAAATAAAAAGTTTGACATTCACTGTATAAAGTCAAAGTCAAAGTCAAAAATCATTTATTTCAATTAGGCCATTTCATTTCGTCTGTATAAACGCATAATTTTTAGAATGTTGGTTAGCTCGAACTGGCTAATGTATATGACCAATACTTTAAACCACTTTGTATATTCAGAGGAAAAGCATACAACTGGTTGGATTCATATTTATCTGATAGGAAACAGTTAGTGGAATTAAACAGATATAACGAGAAAACTAAAACCATAGAGTCATATCAATCTTCACTCATGTTGAATACGTACGGCGTGCCTCAAGGCAGTATTTTGGGCCCGCTGCTGTTCTTGCTCTACATAAACGACTTCCCTAGTGTTACTCAAATCCTTCTTCAATCACCTAGTCCTTCTCCCATCCCTAAATCTCCGAAACCCTAATCACAAAAAGGCCGACAACGCACCTTTGTTGTTGGACACCCGTTCATGGATGACGTTGATTGCTTACCATCAGGTAATCCGTTTGATTATTTGCAAAAGTAAAAAATTACCTCTAATCCGGTACCGTCAGGGAGTGTGTACTGTGCCCTCTCAGTTTCCAACGTTTCCTCTTTAAGAGGGTTCGGTGAGAGGTAGCAGGCCCTCTCTTTGATTGACTTGACTATTTCGAGCTCAGCTGATGTGCGGAGGTTGACACCCTCTTTACGGAGGAGTAACCTAAAAAGACAAAAAAATAATTATAAAACATAATTCGCGATTATAATAATAACTTTATTGTACACCAAAATGTCGTGGTGGCCCGGAGGTTAAGGAGCCCGCTTCTCATGCATGAGGGTGTGGTTTCGAAACCTGGCAAGTACCAATGTGACTTTTGCGAGTTATTTATGTACTTTCTATGATTATTTAGACACCACTGACAAACGGTGAAGGTAAACATCGTGAGGAAACCTGGACTTATAATTTCTAATTATAAGTTTGAAATCGCCAACCCGCATTGAGCAAGCGTGGTGATCAATGCTCAAACCTTCTCCGTTTGAGAAGAGGCCTTTGCTCAGCAGTGCGCACTTATAGGCTGATGATGATGATGATGACACCAAAAGAGTTGATTATAATACAGAATTACAGAATCCAATAGTACTGGGTACAAAGGCGGCCTTATCGCTAAAAGCGATTTCTATCATGCAACCTTTGGGTGGACGGAGTATTGTAGCAGTCTATATGTAACTATAAAATTAAAATCATTTACATGAGATTATCTCAGTTTCGTGGGTGCGTTTGCAAACATACAATTTCACATACACATCACACCCAGACTCACGGAAAAACAATTTGTGGATCACACATAGAGTTGTTCGTCGCTTTGTCTGTCCTTATATCCCTATGTAGGCTTAAATCTTTAAAACTACGCAACGGATTTTGATGTGGTTTTTTATAGATAGAATGATTGAAGAGGAAGGTTTATATGTATAATAACATCCATTAAATAGTTGAGAAATTTAGTATCAGTATTGTACCCGTGCGAAGCTACGGCGGATTTCTAGTCTTCTTATCTATAAAAATGGATCGCAAAATGTGTTGGTAAGCGCATAACTCAACAACGCCTGGACCAATTTTGCTAATTCTTTTTTTGTTGTGATTGTTATTGTCAGGAGAAGGTTCTTATTAAAGAAAATATTAGAAAAGTAGAGGGGAAGATTAGGAAAAAGTGACGTTTTGATAGCGAGATAGTTGGACCTGTGCGAAGCGGGGGGCGGGCCGCTAGTTCTATATAAAACTGTTAAATTATTCTTACCTCAAGTATCGAGTGACATCCCTCCCGGCGACATCGACCCTCATAATGCTGTGGGGCATCGCAAAACCTTCGTAGATGGGCACCGAATGCGTGACCCCGTCACCGGAGTCCAAGACAACGCCCGTCGTACGACCGGTCGCGTATCTGTGAACAAAATTTAATCATCAAACTTAGGACACATCATCAGCCTATTCAGTGCTAGTGTGGGCCGGCTCGACCGGAGTGATACCACGGCCTCACAGAAAACCGGCGTGAAACAACCACAGCGGTGTGTTTCGCCGTATGAGTGAGGTTACCGGAAGCACAATACCTGCCCCTCACCCAATCCTTAAATAACCGAAATCCTTATCCCTAAAAGATCGCTAACGCACTCGTAACTCCCGTGGGGTTGCGGGTGTCCATGGGCGGCGCTGATTGCTTACCATCAGGCACTTCGTATGCTCGTTCGCCGTCCTACATTATATAAAAAAAACACTCTGGCTTTGCATCCAAGAATCTATTTAAAAGTTTCATCGTGCTCGATAATAGAGATTAAGCTCTACTGACCATTCTGTAGGATGGTATTTTTTTTTTCATCAAATGTCCTCGCCCACCCTCGGTAAGGCGAGAGTGTCAGACTCTTACTGACTAAAAACCCCCCGTTCCTTCTCCTGCTCTGGGCCGAGGCCGCGGTGACTCATTGCGCTTACCCCGCAACCCCGGCTGAACAACAGCCATATAGGGCCCCGTCTGTGGTGGTCTATTGGGTCTTTGAGGCGCGCGCGGAACGCTACGCGCCGTACCTACGCTCGGGTCTGGTTCTGGTCGGGCGGCGACCTACCCTTACTCGCTGTCCGCAGACCCGCGTTTACGGTGGCCATTTTATAATTATCCTGAAAGAGTAATCTTTCAGGATAGTGACAACATTATTTATAAACACAATACATGCGCTTAACCCGCAACCCCCACTGAACATCAGCCCTACAGGGCCCCGTCTGTGGTGGGGGATGGTATGGCCAAGAACTGGTGCCTTCTGCTGCGATAGTAATTGTTAGGACCAAAGATACAAAGGAACTCGTTATGCTATGCTCAGCAGTGACATTCTGTTAGACTTCATTCTCAACTTCGAATCTGAATCCGCTGTGAGTAGTAGTACACTAGCGCTACACTTGCGAGTTGAACTAAATTGACAGCAACATTTTGATAGATAAAGTATGAGATGACGTTAAAAGTGGCATTCTAAAATTTAATTACGCCGTCACTTCGACGCTCACTTCACACTCGAACAAGATTCAAAATCAAACAAATTTTAAAGAATCGACGTGCAGTAGTCGTCATACTTTAGTTTTTGATATTCATCATCATCATCATCAGCCTATAAGTGCCCACTGCTGAGCAAAGGCCTCTTCTCATACGGAGAAGGTTAGAGCATTAATCACCACGCTTGCTCAATGCGGGTTGGCGATTTCAAACTTATAATTAGAAATTATAAGTCCAGGTTTCCTCACGATGTTTACCTTCACCGTATGTCAGTGGTGTCTATTTAATCATAGAAAGTACATATAACTCGGAAAAAGTCACATTGGTACTTGCCAGGTTTCGAACCCACACCCTCATGCATGAGAAGCGGGCTCCTTAACCTCCGGGCCACCACGACATTTTGTTTTTGATTTTACGATAAACTTAATATTAGTATTTTCTTGCTAATTTTCAATAAACAAGTATTTAAGTTTAGGAGACTCATGCTTCGGAATGATACCACGGCCTCGAAGAAAGAAGAGCGAGGTTACTTGAGGCACAATTCTTCTACTCCCTCAATCCCTAAATCTCCAAAACCCGAATCTCAAAAACGTCGACAATTTACCCGTTACTCCACCTTATGCGGCAATGATTGCTCACCATCAAGTTATTAGTTTACTTATTGTCCTAGTTATCTAGTACTCTAATCTATACTAATATTATAAATTTAAAATTTAAAAAACCCCCCAAGAAACATCTAATATTCCTTTAAGAGTAATAATAAAAAAAAGGTGGCGTTGGGGGACCGATCCAAACATTTTTACCCGACTGCCAAAGAAGGAGGGTAATGTTTTTCGAGTGTATGTAAGTATGTATGTATGTCTTTTCCTTTGTGACCTCCTGTAGCCTAAACGGCTTGATGGATTTTGATGTATGAGGTATCGTTAGATTTGTCTTGATTACGGGAGTGTCATAGGATACATTTTATCCTAAAAGTCCCACGGGATAAAGACATAATAATATTTTTTCTAAATAAAAACAGCTAAAAAGTTATAAATAAAAAAAATATTATTAAAAAAACAAAATACCCGACTGCACACTAAAAAAAGAGTAAAACAAGCCCCACAATACAAATTTACTGAATATAATTTATAAATGTTGATGGAAAGCATCGCAGGCGGGGACCACCTTGACCGCCACCAACGAAAATTCTGCTAAATGGTGCACAACAGAAATGACTATAAATAAGCCTCTGTTGGACCCCGCCTGCGATGCTTTCCATCAACATTTATAAATTATATTCAGTAAATTTGTATTGTGGGGCTTGTTTTACTCTTTTTTTAGTGTGCAGTCGGGTATTTTGTTTTTTTAATAATATTTTTTTTATTATCTACTACATACTTCTATTTTGTAGGGGGTCTAATTTATTTTTTATTAAAACTTTTTTTAGGTATTTTATATCATTTTCTCTTGATTAAGTCATTAACATTCCCTTTCAGTGCGCTTTCATTTGAGACCCCACTCGAGTATATTTGCAGACCTTCGGTTACCCGTCCCCACTTACCCCCCATAACTTCTAAACGGCTCAACCGATTTTCGTCAAACATGTCTTACACTCGCACGTAAGTCACCTTTAATACAAAAAAAACTAGATTGAAATCGCTTCACTGGTTCAGGCTCCAGGATGCCACCGACAGACAGACAGACACGTCAAACTTATAACACCCCTCTTTTTGCGTCGGGGGTTAATTATAAAGAGGTAAATTTTGTAAGTTTGTACACACTACATACATAGTGATACATAGCTACAATGTTCCCGAGTGCTATAGGCTATAAAACATCATGCTACGATTAAATGTAGCCGAGCAGCGGGTGAAACCGCACGAGATTAGCTAGTTACTTACAAACTAAGCACCGCTTGCATGGACAGGAATAGTGCTGGTACGTTGAAGGTCTCGAAGAATACTTCAGCAGCTTTCTCTCTATTCCGTCGAGGGTTCAAGGGTGCCTCCGTCAGCAGAACTGGATGCTCCTCGGAGAATGTTGATAGTTGATCCTGAAAACAACAGTTATATAAGAACTAAATACTCCTGCACACTCAAACCCGTTAGTTTTATTTTATTAGCACATAAAATAAAATAGATCGGAGTGATACCACGGCCTCATATAACATAGAAACAATAGCGTTGTATTTCGTCATGTGAGTGACCCTCCCCTGCCTTGTTCCTTCCCAATCCCTAAATATCCGAAACCCTTATCCCTAAGAGGCCGGCAACGCAATAAATCCTTTGGTGCTGCGAGTGTCCATGGGCGACGCTGATTGCTTTATCATCATCATCATCATATCAGCCACAGGACGTCCACTGCTGAACATAGGCCTCCCCCATTGACTTCCAGATAGGCCGGTTGGAAGCGACCTGCATCCAGCGGCTTCCTGCGACCTTAATCAGGTTGTCTGTCCACCTTGCGGGTGGACGTCCTACGCCACGCTTGCCGGTACGTTACCATGATTGCTTACCATCAGGTAATCTGTCTGCTTGTTTACTGTACTATAAGGAAAAAAATATAGAGACAGAGACAGCAACTTTGCTTTATATCTTACCTTGCTATAAATATAGTTCCACACTCTCTCCATGTCATTCCAGTCGGTAACGATGCCATGTTCCATCGGATACTTGATGCTGAGGAGTCCTCGGTGCTCTTCAGCTCTAGGACCGACAAAGAGTTCTCCTTCTAACGCACCAGCCATCACTCTGACATGCTTAGGTCGTCCGATACTGTGGAAATAAGCATTTTTTGTAACATTGGATATATGGCCAGACAGGGTCTTTTAGGATGGCAAAATCATTTGATTTCTCTCTCGCAGAGTGAGGCGCCAGGTAGTGTCAGACTCATACTGACAAAAAACTACACTATTTGTTCAACTGTCTAAATAAAATGAGAAAGTCTGTATGACTTGAAAAATGTTTGTGTGTGTGCCATGATTTAAAATGGCACCCACATATTTGAGGAGCTATTACCTTCATAAGTGTGGAGATGTTATCCCTTGGGTAAATAATCATAAATAAATATATTATATTTAAGGCTTTTGTTAGATGGATACTTCTAATTTTTTTGTAAAACCAACACTCTAGGATTTTCTCATGCCTTGTAGTTTTATCAGGTACACAAACATACTATTTCACATACACCCCACTCCCAGATCCAGTACGACTATCAATGGGTGACACAGAGAGTACCGTGCGAGAATACAACCTAAGTTTCACAGCACCAATATTTCGCCTGAAGATTTACCTACATGACTAGAACAACAGCAAACTCTATGACAAAATATTCAAAGGATTCTGATACTAAGCCAAATATCATTCTATCTGTCCAACAATTTTGCAAAAACGAGTAACAGACATTAAATTTCGCATTGATTTTTAAGTTATTAGAAAACTGAATAAGAATCCGTACTTACTAGTTTGGGAATCTGCATTTTGGGATCTGGTCGCCAGCGAAACCGGCTTTGATCACACCGGAGCCCTGTTAAGACGTGACAACAATAAATAATCGTAGAAAATGCGACAAAATGGAATGTGACATTTCGTTACTTGGTATGACTCATTTTCGTAAACTATTGTATGAAATTCTATTCGAAAACTATTAAAAACCTTCACATATTATCTAATAAGAATCTGAAAGTAAATTCCTAAGGTTTTCGTATCGATTTTAATAAGATATTGACAATAAAATTTGCATCGTCGACTCGACACCGATTCGTCAGCGTTACAAAATTGATGTTAGATTTAATATTTACATTGTCAATTACGACGGGCTGGTTTACAATCACATCATTTAGCTCCATATTTGATAAATAATTTATTTATTCCGTTTTGTAAGTACAATTTCTATTTATTTCACTGTTGTAAATTCCACATTCGGGTACGTTTTTCCACTATTCACGTTCCAGCGACTAAACTAAAGATTTACAACAGACACTATCGCTATTCTTTTTACTCGTTCTAATATTTTGTATTATCTGTCCTACTCTTATGTGTCATAATGTGATATGTTTCTGTTTCTTATACTGGAAATTGATAAAATGACATCAGACTCTGAGTGTTTTTATATTAAAAAAAAACTGACAATTGTTAACATAATGTTGTAATAGTTAAAAAGTAGTAAATAGACATTTTTGAAAATAAAAAACCTTTTTACTATCCTGTAATTGTAGATTCTAACAACAGCATGATTCTAAACACCAATCCCCATATTATGGCCTCGTATATCCACCAAAGCGGAGAGGAGATTTCCTGCAAAGCTAGCATGTTACTACCACTAAAGCATGGACATGGAACCTTTGTGTAAAACTGATTTCAAGTTGTACAGCAAACTGTGAAAAAACTGATCTAAATCAGAATTAAGGGTGGGAGAGCCATGATCCGGCACGAATGTGTCGGCTCGAACGGAATAATACCACTGCCTTACATAATACCAGCGCAGCGTGAAAAACCGCAGCGTTGAGGTTACCGGAGGCCCAATCCTTCCCGTCCTCTAATCCCTAAATCTCCAAATCCCTAACACCCAAAATTTCAGCAACGCACTCGTTACTTCTCTGTATTGCGGGTGTCCATGGGCGGCTCTGATAGCTCACCCTCAGGTGACACCCATAATATGTGTAATTAATTATGCAACTGTTTTTTTTTTGTTATTTTACGCGGGTATATTGTGAGGCCGTATTATCATAATCTCCACACCGATCAAGCCGATATAGAAGTGCCGAAGCTTGTTGTCTATTATTTGAAGAGTTTTTTTATATTCTGAGTTGTTAACTAATTACTAACTAACGTTAATTAAACTAGCGTTATTAAGCTTAAAAAAACTAACGTTATTTAGCTTGCTTACATACTATTAGGATAACTGGATATTAGTAACCGATATTTAAATACGTACTTAATTGTTTGTACCTACTTATTATAACAAACAACTTTCCCAAAGAAACCCTTTTTCTGTACTCAGTTACATAGAGGATATATCGTCATTGCTCATTGGTTTTATTTATTTTTTTTATTTTTTTTTCCTAATTACTAATAGCAAAATTACTTTCCAAAGTGAAGATTAGGTCGCGCGGGGCCTCGCCGCTAACAGCTGGTCAAGCGATGCACGGCGGGTTCCTCGTAGTCCGCCCAACGCGGAAGACGAAACTGACGAAAACGTGCCCGAAGTGACCCGGGTAGAGTTGAGAGTGGCGGTGGCTCGCATCAAGAACACCGCCCCAGGGCCCGACGGCATTCCAGGCCGTGCATGGGTCCTGGCTATGAGAGCTCTCTGGCCCCGACTAGCGGGGCTCTTAAGCGCATGTTTGGAGCGGGGCCAGTTTCCAAGCCGGTGGAAGACCGGAAAGTTGGTCCTGCTCAAGAAGGCGGGGCGCCCCGCAGACTCCCCGTCTGCGTACAGGCCGATCGTGTTGCTGGACGAGGTGTGTAAGATCTTCGAGCGAATCATCGCCGGCCGCCTCGTCCAGCACATGACCAGGGTGGGGCCGGATTTGGCGGACAACCAATATGGTTTCCGCCAGGGGCGCTCCACGGTCGACGCGATCATGCGCGTAAAGGTCCTGGCGGAGGAGGCAGTCGCCCGGGGCGAGGTGGTCTTGGCGGTGTCGCTCGACATCGCCAACGCTTTCAACACCTTGCCCTGGAGTACCATCCGAGAAGCGCTCCGGTATCACGGGGTGCCGCGCTACCTCTAACGCATTGTCGGGGCCTATTTATCGGACAGGTCGGTGGTGTACCCGGGTCGAGAAGGATGGGGTCGGCGAGAGACGTCGTGCGGCGTTCCGCAGGGATCGGTGTTGGGTCCGCTCTTGTGGAACGTTGGCTACGACTGGGCTCTGCGCGGTGCGCTACTCCACGGCGTCGGCGTCATTTGTTACGCCGACGATACGCTAGTTACAGCGCGTGGAAAGTCGTACCGGCAGGCGGCCATACGCGCGACGGCTGGTGTCGCGCACGTCGTGGGTAGGATCCGGCGGCTGGGCTTAGAGGTGGCATTGCACAAATCGGAGGCCCTGTGTTTTCATGGGCCGAGGATGAGGCCGCCTCAAGGATCCAGCATTATAGTAGGAGGGGTTTCCATCGCTGTTGAGTCCACGATGAAGTACCTCGGACTCGTTCTCGACAGTCGGTGGAATTTCGGGCCGCACTTTACACGGCTCGCCCCCCGGTTGATGGGCGCCGCTGCTGCGCTGTCGCGCTTGCTGCCCAACCAGGGGGGGGCCATCTCCTACTGCCGGAGGCTCTACATGGGGGTCGTACGGTCGATGGCGTTATACGCTGCGCCAGTATGGGCGGACGCCCTGACGGCTCGCAACATCGCCGCGCTGCGAAGGCCACAGCGCGCGATGGCCGTCAGGATAATCAGGGGATACCGTACGATCTCCTTTGAGGCAGCGAGCCTCCTAGCCGGATCCCCGCCCTGGGACCTCGACGCAAAACTCCTCGCGTCGCTCTATTGGTGGCGCGCGGAGGCAGTCGAGCGGGGCGAGCGCCTGGTGCCTCGACAGGTTGAGGCACGCAGGGCAGAACTCCGCCAGACCTTAATGGCGGAGTGGCAGACGCGCTTAGCGCAACCTACGGTGGGGCACGCCGCTATAGAGGCGGTAAGGCCCGTTCTAGAGGAGTGGCTCAATAGGAGCCACGGCGCCCTCAGCTTCCGGCTGACGCAGGTGCTTACTGGACACGGGTGTTTTGGGAAGTACCTGTGTCGCAAAGGTCGGGAGCTGATGTCTCAGTGCCACCATTGTGGTGATTGCCGCGACGATACGGCGCTGCATACCTTGGCGGAGTGCCCAGCTTGGGCCCAGCAGCGTCGTGACCTGGTCGCGGCCGTAGGTGCTGCGGGAAATCTCTCGCTTCCGGCTGTAGTGTCTACTATGGTCGGGAGCGAGTCAGGGTGGAGAACCGTCGCTACCTTCTGCGAGGCCGTGATGCTCGCAAAGGAGGCGGCGGAAAGGGAGAGAGAGGCTGCCTCCTCTCTCCCCTCCCGCAGCAGACGCACTAGACGTCGTAGGGTGGCCGACCTGCGGCCACCGTAGGGCGCGGCCTGTGGACGACAGACTCGGGGCGTCTTGTCGTCTAACCAGCAGCAGGCCTCGAGGCGGCGGCGCCGTGTTCCGCGCGCGCCTTATAGTGGAGTCCTGCGGTCGGGGTGACGGCCGCAATGGGTGACGGGGCCCGCCTTACCATCTGGCGGGCCAATACCCGTCGGGGGGTTGCGACGAATGCTTCGGCGATACCCGCCCCTCCGACACATGGGTTATTGGAGGAACACCGGGTTGGTTTTTAGTCAGTATGAGTCTGACAGTACCCTCGCCCTTACCCGAGGGCGGTGGGTCTCCATGAGGATTTCCCAACCCGAAACCAAAAAAAAAAAAAAATGCACGGCGGGCGCGCGAAGTTTGTTATAAGTAGTACCAAATCAAATCAAATCAAAATCATTTATTCCAACTAAACCATAAATAGGTACTTTTGAAACGTCAAAATATAATAGTAGTCTGTCAGTCTGTTCGTCAGTGAAGCTAGTTGCTCGTTCCAAATTGTAGTTTCGAATGGAGAAGAACGAGCAAGAAACTCCATCGTTACTCTTTTAAAAAAAATATTTGTTTTACAATTCACCAATAATACATTTTTTATACATTACTGTACCCCTATGTGAGAACAATGCAGAGACAAGTTGTTAATAAAAAGGAACAAATGATGGTCTATCTAATCTATCATTAAAATTTTAATCCTTTGTTGTCTCGAACATGGCGCTCACATATGCGTACTCACAATCCAAAAGAATGCTTCTATATAAACTCATTCAAGGTTTCATTAATTTTGAGAATTTTAATAACTACATTATAAATATACATTATACCCTACACTACATTACATATACATTAGGTATATACATTACATATACATTATACACCACACTACATTCGGCTTTTGTAAATCCGTAATTAATTAATTAAACGCTTAAATGGCGGCTCCTCGACATAACAATAATATTAGCCAAAATAACATGTAAGTAACAAATTTATTTTTATTTTATGAATTAAATAAGAAATTAAAAATACTTATTTCGTATAACATACTAGGCGAGTTTTAAATTTTGGCGCGTCTCTGGAACTCTTTGTCTTGGGTTTACCAATCATAATATAGTGGAGGTCCTGTTCGTCCAATCAGAGTAACTGTCAAAAAGATTGATGAATAAATCAACTGACAACAGGAACTATATGACGAACGGAACCCACTGGAGGAAATAATAGGTACTTTTCTAGACATGGTCTTAAACGGAACCTCGCTAATTAGCGCCGTCTGGTGACTGGTGAGTAAAAATAAGTTTGTTTTTTATTTATTGCATGTTTTAGTTCATAATGTTTGTATTTAATTTAAAAATAGTAGGCACAATAATTATATGAACAGTATTTATATGCAGTAAACGCTTAAAATAAGTTAATAACAGAATACAAAGTCAGAAACTCATTGACGTAATAATTTAAAATTAGACATTACATAGGTAGTATAGCCCTAGCGCATTCATCTGGCTAAAGAAAGCGGGAATGTAATGTCTGCGTTTCGTTTCACGCACATAACTAGTTGAAAAAGAAAGAATACCTAAGACTTTGTTAGGAAACAAATCGGAATACTAAGTCATTTAAATCTAGAATAAAAAATACGCCTCATTATTGATGCACAAGAAAATACAATTTGATAAGTTGAATCTAAATACACTTACCTAATTTCTAATAATCTTTCACTTTGCGATAATTAATTATGGAATGTTAATTATTTCTGGAAATTTACAAAAAATATTACTTTTAGATAATGTAAATGACTCCGCTGGCATTTCTGTCTGTCTTACTACCCAAAGAAGAAGTACCCAGCGATCGCAGTCACAGAAATCTTCAGACAGTTACTCTTTGCTTTTTTATTTCT